ATGGTAGCGTTTCCGAGTGGGTTAAACCATTTTTGGAAAATCGAGAAAAGGCAATTATTGCATTAAAAGACGAACCGTTTTCTTTAAAAAGGAAAAGAGCAACCGTCGCATTAACTGCAAAAGTTTCTAAGGCCCAAGCCCAACAAGTTTACCGAGTTGACTAAACCCGAAGTGGGGAACTCGCTTTAAGCCGAGCTCAGCTCTCGCATTTTAAAGAGAAAGGTCTGATCAGCCTAAAAATCTAGAAAGCATTGCCACAAGGCCACAAAAGGTTAAGAGTGGACTTTGCAAACCCGCATATAATTTTAACCAAACCCCCTTGGGCCACAACCTAGAAAGGTTTAAAAGCCTCCTCAGGCAAATATCTTGTTCAAAAGAAACAATAAAGCCTCCTTAGGCCAAAATAAATTAAGTCTTAAAAATAAAGGGACAATCCCCAATTTAAAGTGGACACAGCCACTACGGAGCAGCAGCCACCTCGGAATCCGGCTCAACAGTCGAAGCTTCATTCGCGTCCTTGGCAGCTGCTTGATCAGATGAAGCTCCTTGACCACCCTCCGCGGTACAACCAACCTCCGGAGTGACCTCCGATACCATAGGAGCTACGGGCGGGACAACGTCCTCCGCCTCACTTGAGCCTAGGAATAATAATTCCAGTCAATCAAAGGTGCAAGAAAAGGAAAGGTAATAAATATCAGGAGCCAAGCATTACCTGCCCAGTCTAGATCTGATTCGCTTATAGGAGGCGATTCGGTGAAGAATTCCTCGAAGTCCTGAGGGTTGAAGGTCGAAGTAGGAAGAGCTGCCAAGCGACTCCGCTTTTCAGAAAGATTAGCCGATAGTTCGTTTCTCTCTTGATCTTCGGAGAAATCTGCATCATGGATTTGATCCAGCAGGATCAGGTTGCTCTCGTGCTCCTTGATGTCTGATTCCAAGTCAGACCTAGCCTTCTCGGTCTGCATGAATCGGATGGCCCCTTGGATCAACTCCATCCCGCGTCCCTTGACCTCTTTTCTGGCTTTTGACGCCGACCTCGCCAACTCGAAGTCACGCAATTTGGCGATCGCCTTGTACTTCGCGTTGAGCTCGATGAGTTGGTTGTTCAGGGAATCAGCGTTTGATTCGGACTCTTGAAGCCTACCTTGAATACCAGAAAACTCTTCCTGGAGTTTGAAGTTCTGGTCGTACTGACCCTGCAGCTCCCCCTTTATCTGCGCAAGCTCGGATGTTAAATTGTCGACTTTGTCCTCCAGATCGTGCTTGGAGCCGGCAGAAGAACTGAGTTCGGCCTCAAGGGCGGAGAATTTTTTTGTCCACATGTCAATCTCCTTCTCCCGGCCAATGACCAACCCTTCGTAATGTTCGATCATGTCGTTAAATTCGCTTTGAGCCTGGCGTTATACATGAACCCGGGATGACGAGTCAGTTCGCAGAATGGCGATACAATAAAAAATATACATAAAAGAAAGCGGAACTAACCCGAGATGAGTGATGCGCGTGAAGCAAATAACGTTCACGAATCGCAGGGCGCCATTTGTTGAAATCTGGCAAGATCGAACCCGAACGGGTCTTGAAGCATCGGAAGACGCTGCCTTCTGTCTCCATAGCTGCGAAGAAGGAAGAATTGTAAAAATTGGAATTTTAATAAAGACAAAAGTTTAAGTGTGTGTAAATCACCAAACCTGAAAGCGATTTGACTTGAGGTACAAGAGCAGGCTTCAGCCTCGAGGGAGCATCTCGAGATTCAGAATCTCCCTTTTTCGGAGACGCGCTCCGGACGGTCTTTCCACTATCAGGCTGGGAAGAGGAGGACATGTCAACCGGTCGTGGAGGACCCATTGGTTCAGAAGGAGGGGATGACCGAGGTGAGCGGTCAGTCCGGGCCCTTGACTTTTCCCTCTGCGGGGAAGGATCACTACGAGAGGACTTGTCTCTCTTTCGGCGAACCAAGTTCTTAATTGGCTCGTTACTAAAATCATCTCGGGAAGGACGAGGTGAATCACGGCGAGGAGATCGATCCCTCTGAGGAGAACGTGAGTCGCGACGATCGCGACGAGGAGTTAATCTGAAGGAAGCGACAGTTCGAGCTCCCTCGGTGCTGCCATCATCAACCAGCAAGGTTCTACTGTAGTCCTTCTTGTCTATAGAAGTCGCGAGAAACTTTTTCTTCTCCTCGCAAGCCTCAGCCATCGGCTTGGAAAGCAACTTACGCTTGGCCGCAAGGGCCCGAGATGACATTCCCTGAGTTGAGGGAGGGGGAGGAATTTGGTGAAGATGACCAGGTGGACTCATCCTGAGTCTGTGGTTAGCTTCTAGGAATCGTTCAAGGGTGAAGGAATTCCAAAGGGTTTCCCCTTCAAGAATTATTTTGAAGAATTCGATGAACTCTTCAGATGGGAGATTGGAAGCGATGAAAGCTGCGAAAAGAAATAACGGTGTTAGTCAATAAAGATAAAGAAACAACCGGGAAAGATACGGGCAACCTAATCACTACCGGGTTTCGCAGACCACTTCGAAGGGAGAAAATCTGCGAGATTTCCAATCGAAGCGGGAGTTTTCTTAATTGGAAACCAAGGATGATGCCAATTTTCATCCTTGTTCAGAAGATGTGAAATGATGTTCCTGTTGGCATTAGGATATGCTGAGAAGTACCCCGCTTTCTTCGATGAACTTCTCACACTCAGAAGCTCATTTAGTTCAGCAACACCGATAACGTAACCGGCCTCCGCCGCGATTGTTATAATGCCAAGAATAGTACGAAGAAGATTGGGGGTTAATTGAGGAAGAGCGATTTCAAGAGCCGCTAGGTATAAAATTAGGGCTTCGGGAAGAGGAAAGGTCAGCCCGCAACCCTTGAAATAAATCTCATACACACAGAAGTAACCATCGCGATGGTTCTCTGGAGATTCTGTGGGGGAAGCTATTTGTGCTTCCGCCATAATTTCCGGCGGAATCCGGCAAAGCTCTCTCAATCGCTCGAGGGATTGAAGAGTACAAGTGGACCTAAAGTGCGGACCGGCAATATCACCAGGGCGGGTGCACTCGTCGTTACTAGAACGCCTCTCGTCGAAAGACGGAGACTCGGGTCTATCGGAATCGGAAGTCATTGGGAAGAAAGAAAAATTCAAGATCCGGCGAAGAAGGGTTTTGGTGAAGGAACGAAGAGAGAGGTTTTGATTAAAGTACAAAAGTAAAAGAAGAGAGTAATGGTGAAAAGAAGTTACCTCAAGCTAATGATGAAACCGCCTCGGAAGTCGTGTGGGAAGTGGGAAGGTTTTTCCCGTTTTAATAGTAATTAATCAATATACGGTCATAATGATGACAGATGTCACTCGGTTAAAAATGGCTAGTGCCGAAATTAAAGGAGTGATGAGATTTTCGGCGGGAAATCAGAAAGATTCTCGAGCGCAATCTTTGGCCACTTGAGCATTTAAAGTCCTCCGAATTGGAATAGCACTTCGAAGAACTTGGGGGGCTAATTGTTGGTGTCGGATCCCGCACCAGAAGTACGAGACCAACCAAAGATTGCCACGTAATCAGGATAATGGCCCATAAAGGATAAAGCCCATTGGACCTGTGAGCCGAAGGGATGGTCGAAGTGGTTGTCACCATTTCGAGAATTCGAAGTGACTGCACTGTGACACGAGTTCGGTGTAGAAGACACGGGTAAGTCGGTTCAAGGACACTTGGGCCAAAAGAGGCGAGGCCCATGAAGATCAGAGTCAACTCAAATTCAAACGTTGAGCATTAAAGCCGAAGAATCAAAACGGACACATTTAAGAAGAAATAATTGTACTTAATTACTCATTTTAAATGTCGTTTAGCTATGTATAAATATAGAGGCCAATGGCCATGTAAAGGGGATCTTCCTCTCAAGAGAGAAATACTATAGCAATTTTCGTATCAATTTACAAGTTTTTACGTATTCATTTTTGTCCCTCAAGAATTATCTTTTCCACTTAACAAAATACTTGAGTGTGTGAATCCGACATCCACAAGTATTATCTAATATATTAATAAAGGGTAGAAATAAAATTTTTTGACAAAAATAAAGGGTAGAAATAAAATTTGTTTATTTTTTTTAATTTGTGTAAAAAATATTAGAATGACATTTTTTATGAAACCGATGGAGTAAATATTATCAAAAAAGAATTTAATTTTTGCGTTTTAGCTAAAGCTTATTTACACCCTAAAAAGAAGCTAAAACCTAATCTATATATATAATTTGTGAATGAAGCTAAAACCTAATATAACTAAACCAAGGTTTTTGGTTTCCATGAGGAACAAGTTGTTCAAGAAGGTTTTACGCCTAATTTTGTGAAGGCGACGAACTGTAGGGGTTCCTCAACCCATGACAGTTCCAAGACAAAATGACTAAGGAAGAGGAGATTTCGGGATACGAAAATCCGCATTTCCTTTCGAGGTTGCTAGAATGAGTGAGATTGGAGGCTGATCAGTATAGTCTCCTTTAATTTATTTGATTTGTTTCTGGCTTGGTACTTTTTCTACGTCTTCTCCATACACAAGCTCTTTCTAGGAGATGGGTGGATTTTTGTGACAATTCGTTGCCTTAAGCCGACTGCATGGAGAGGACTTCTTCCTGTTTTAGGAGTGGTGTTAGAGGAACCTACCTTCCTTTTCCTTGTAGCTTTTGGAGCAATGGTTCAGCTGGTGGTAGCCTTATCCACCTCATTATCTGTGGTAGTTGTATTCTCAACTGGCCCCAACCTTAGGGAAGTATGGATTCTTTGCTCTATATATATATATTTTTTTTTTTTTTGATAAACCCTATCGGCTGATCCGGTCAGCCCCGGTAGAATCGCACCGAAGTGCTTCAGAGTGGACTATTCCCCGAAAGACCACCATATTGTTTGTTCCAAGTTTGGAATGATTTCCGACTAATGTCAGAGGGTAATCAGATCGCCTGTTACTGGACTACCAAGTAAACTGGTTGGACCTTTTGGCCCAAGCCCAGACTTCCCACACAAATATAATTTTTGTTTCCAGCGTGGATCGAACCTGAGTTAGTTCCTTCCAACATTTCCCCAATTCTCAACTACCACTTTGCTCCATACTTGTAACCGCAAGGTGGCTTAAGTTTTGGGAATCTAGTGAGATAAAGTTTCACCGTAACAAAACTTGTATATTTAGCACGAAAACTTGTTTGCTATTTATCACTTATCAGTACGGTTCCAAAACTTGTAGCCTACATACACAATGTTGTCCCTAGCTTCGGTTCTTAATTAGTATCATAAGATAAATATATAATAAGGTGACGAAACCGTGTCTTGGCCAGGCCGACGTGCCCGAAACTAAGCAAAAACGTGTCTTGATCACACGTGCCAGCTTTTAATTTCTATACTTGTTTTAAATTAAAAATAAACGAAAAACCGGTTACAACGGTCAAAAGCAAGGGTGGCAAAATAATTAAAACTTAAAATAGAGCAAAACAAGGTAAGCTTTGGTTTGAGAGAAAGAGAAGAGAAGAAAGGGCGAAGAAGAAGGAGGAGGAGGAGGAGGAGGAGGAGGAGGCTGATGATGAAGCTGTGGAAGCGGGCTTCCGGTGCTCTCAAAGACCGGAAAACCTTGTTTTCCATCGGCTTCTCCCGGAAAACCTCCTTCCGCAACCCTGACCTTGATTCTGCCATCATCCACGCAACCTCTCATGATGACTCATCTGTCGATTACCACAATGCTCATCGTGTCTACAAATGGATCCGATCCTCTCCCGCCAATCTCAAGCCGCTTGTTCATGCCCTTTCGTCTCGGGTAAACCGCACAAGAAGCTGGATTGTTGCCTTGAAAGCCTTAATGCTTGTCCACGGTGTGCTTTGCTGCAAAGTCACGTCCCTTCAAGAAATTCGTCGCCTCCCTTTCGACCTCTCGGATTTCTCAGATGGTCATTCCCGTCCCAGCAAGACTTGGGGTTTCAACGCTTTTATCCGCGCCTATTTCTCGTTTCTTGACCAGTACTCTTTCTTTTTATCGGATCAAATCCGTCGTCGCCACAAAAAACCTCAGCTAGATTCGGTTAACCAAGAGCTCGAAAGGATCCAGAAACTTCAGTCTCTTCTCCATATGCTTCTCCAGATCCGTCCAATGGCTGACAACATGAAGAAGACGCTTATCCTTGAAGCCATGGACTGCGTGGTGATCGAGATCTTTGACATTTATGGAAGAATCTGTAGCGCTATCGCCAAGCTTCTCATAAAGATCCATCCAGCTGCTGGAAAAGCAGAAGCTGTGATTGCTCTTAAGGTTGTAAAGAAGGCTACATCTCAAGGAGAAGATCTCGCCCTCTACTTTGAATTCTGCAAAGAATTTGGGGTCTCAAACGCGCACGAAATTCCTAAATTCGTTAGAATCCCGGAAGAAGACATTAAAGCAATCGAGAAAGTCATCAATGGAGTTGAAGAAGAAGAGGAGACCAAAAAGGAAGAGCAAGTAGAGGAAGAGAAGAGTATCATATTAGTGGAGAGACCGGAGTTGCAGACAATCATAACCGATAAATGGGAAATTTTCGAAGACGACTTTTGTTTCACATGTAAGGATATTAAAGAAACTGATCAGCATAGAAAATGTAACGTGGATCCGAGTCCGCTGCCTCTAATAGTTATGGACGAGCCAGTTTACTTCACTCACACGTTACCAGATTTGATTACCTTTTAATTGCGACTTGATCAGATTCATTATTTTTTTCGGGTTCTCTTTTGTGTTTTTTTCTTCTATTTTGTTGAATATGCGGATGATAATAAACGTTAGATATACCTCAAGGTTGCTAAGACATTTTAGTGCACATATTTTTGGTATTCATTTAGGCATTTGAGAATCTGAGATATTGATTTATGCCTTAGGGATGTTGATATATAATGCGTCTGATATTTTGTGCCCTAGAAAAATATGGGCATATAACGAGCCGAGACGAGACTGATAGGCCAACAATTATGTTGACCGCGGGCTTCACCACAAATTATTTTAATTACTTGCTATATCACTGTAACAGCGTACGTTAATACTTTATAAAATAAATATGTTGTTAAAGTAGTAAGAAAAAGAAAATATCAGCCTAGCAATGTTTAGAGTACAACAAGATATACAATTGCAGCGCCTAGCTCATTCTATTTTGTAATAGTAAGTTAATCATTTTGATTTGACTTCTTAGATATGAAATGTTCGTAAATTTGTAATGAAAGCAATGACGTAGATGACAAATCGCTATCCATCATAAGAAATGGTATGGCCAAGGCAACGACTTTAAGAATGTATCATAAATTTGATGAGTAGTACTTTTGCACTAATAATAATAGAACCCAACCAAAATTACTGGAAAACAAACAAACAAAAGAAAGTTTAAATAATTTGTCAATCGTGAAAAAAAAAAAACGATTATACGGTAGATGGACTAATTTAACATCCAAAAACTGAAAACATGAAATGGATTTGGATTTGAGGATAATAGCATCAAGTAGAGAGTATAGTTATAACTTTGCCCGCCCATGTGAGCAGGCATGAGATATGTAGAGCTTTTTATGTAGATTACGACGTCGAGAAATGTCAATTTTTTATATTTCCCTGAATATTATTTAAATGTTGTGAACTTTTTTCTTTTTTCGTTACTTTATGGGTTGTCAATAAAACTTTTCACCTCCTCCATCGTTACTCCTTAAAAAGCAAAAAGCCGATGGGCCAAGTCTCATGTTATAATGACTCATCTTCGTTAAGTATCAACTAAATTAGATATAACAATGATACTTCTTATTTTTGAGTACTACTCTCATTTTATAATTGATGGACAAAATTGGTACTTCTCATACAAATCACGATTGTAATAATTTACTTTTTCAATCCAGAGTTCTTTTCTCAAAGACTCAAACTTTGTAGAGACTTAGGTTGGAAATTAGACTTTAATATGTTGATGTAATTTGTTTTGTGAAACAATGAAATCTGACGAATAAATTCTTGATTTAAATTTTAATTTTGAAATTTATTTCTAATTATAAGTACAAACATGAAAATATGACAATATTTTCCAATAACAAATTGTTCTCTTAAATTTATAGTCTTTTCATTTTTAATTATATCAAAGATGGTTTGTCATCTTTTTTTTAATAGTTTAGTGAAAACCTTAGAAAATATTAGTTTTCTAATAACGAAAGAGTATTAATTCTACTAAATTGCAGGAGAAATTAAAACTACGTTTTCGAATTTGCAATAACCTTTTGGAATAGTGCATGTTCACTCTAAAATAAAGCTCATATGGTGTGGATGCTCTTTTATAGATCAAGATATGATGATGTTTGGATTGTCTGGTTCAAATAAGAATTGATATTTGACAATATTTTGACCAATACTCTTGGCCAGCCAATAAACTCAGATAAATTAGAGACTTAGTTCATTCATGAATTCATTTGAAGGTAATAGACGGGAGAGTAACCAAGTCGCCATGGTCCAGTGGTAAAGGAGAGAAAAGTCTCCGCCACCTGGGTTCGAGTAGCATTGGCCACCGGGGTTCGAATTCTAACATGGTTTCTCCGGACCCCAGGATTAGTCTTTGGGCCTAGAAAGCCTTTAGGATCACCTGAGTTATCAAAAAAATAAAAAATAGACGGGAGAAATAAACTTTATCCGGGTAGATCGTTGGTCATTTCTTAAAAAAAATTTAAAAGCTATTTAGAGGAGAATGGCCTTGTGCATCTGCCCAGCCACAACTTAAACTCCTGGAGATTGCCTCATGCAAGGTCAGGCTCTCAAGTTAACCAACTTAAGTACAATATCGAATGGAAATTAAAACATTATTTTTTTGAATTTAATGTTAAATTATATTAAAAAAAATAAACGTTATTTACATATAAAATGCTAACTTTTCTGAAACATTTAAAATAGAGCTTTTATCTTGTCTTCTCTATTGCCTTGGCATAATAAAAAAAACATCTAACATGAGTAGAAGTTTTGATGTTGTCAATTCATTAAGCCTTGTATTTTACTTTGCAAACCTATCCATAGCCAATAGCAAGCTTTTAGGGGTACCAACGATCAAACTAGAAGACAAACTAAGAGGAATGCCTTGAGTAAGAAAGAGAGAAATGAATAAATGAATAAAATTGTTGGGGCCAAACAGAGTTAAAGCAAAGAGAAAGAGACATATTTCAATACTATCGATTTGGATCCGTGTTCCACCTTATAAGTTAGGTCCGCGTTTCATATGGATCCAGTCACTGTACACTTTTTAAAGGATTGGCTCTTTCGTGACACTTCAAATCAGTCCAAGGCTCTTCACCCCGTTTTAAAACTTTGTACTATTGATATGATGGCACCACATTGTATCTATGGATTCCGTTTTACGTTCCACTCTCACACAGAGACGACGTGAGCTGATTATGTTCACACGACATACGTTCTTTTAAGTAATGATGTGTCCGACTTCCAAAACAAAAATTCTTACCGCTTTATATACACACACGTAAATATATACGTACAGCTAAAATGTAACATATAATTAGTATCTTACAGAGGGCTTTTTCTTCTTCCGAAAGCATGAGAACAAAAAAAGGATTAAAGTCCAAAGTTTTTTTAGAGACTAAAGTGCTCTAGTAACGAGTTATTGATTTATATTATTGCATAGTAATGTTGTTTCTTTCTCAATTTGATGTAGGAATAATTCCTAATACCTTTTCTTAATTAATTTTCTTTTGCTCATTTGTCCTGAACTGAATCGTATTTTTTAAATTGAATATACTTGTTTGGATTTACCTATTCTGATACTATGCATATAAAAATTATGAGTTTCGAACTCAAAACCAACTAATAATGAATATACAACTTACAAATGTCTAACATTTATAATATATCTATGGTTCGACCATAACTTGTAGTTTTTAATGATTTGTATTGGTGTTTCCAGAGTGTCATAATCTTGATTTAGACCTAAAAATGTGTGCATGTGTGTGTGACTAGTAAACAATAAACAAAATATCCAAATTTATAATTAAATCTCTTAATTAATTGGTTTTTCCTTGCAAAACCTAACGAGAAACTGGTGGAGAATTATATAGATTTTTCTATTGTGGAGAAGAATGTTGAGTGATATGAAATAATAATGACTTGTATTTGTTTTGTTGTGAAAGGGGATGTTCTTTTGTTTCTTGTCCAAAATATCTATGTGGGCTCTAAGTTTCAACCCCGTTTCCTATAAGTCACATGATGTATATGTATGCATACATAGAGAGAGAAAAGAGAAAAGAAGTTGATGAGTATATGTAAAGAAGAAGATTAAACAATCAGAGACCATACAATGCCTTCTCCAGGTAAGGTGCGAGGTCAATGAATCAATTAACAAAAAGAAGAAACTTTTTTCCAAGAAAAATAAAAAGAAGAGAGTAAAGAGAAAAAAGAAATCTTTTAGGCCTCGAAAAAGAGAGCTGAAACAAAAGTTGATTTCAGAAAGCAAAACCCTTTGTTTCTCCCTCTTAACTCATCTCTCTTTCTTCCTCTATTAGTAAAGCTGAGACAGCAGTACTATCCACCACCAAATAAAAGAAGTAAAGAGGAAAGATCTCTAATCTTCACATCAAAAACAAAAGATTCTTCGATTTTGTTTTTCTTTTCCAATAGTCACAACTTAGTAATTAATTGTACACTTCCTCCAATATATACCACCATCGTTAAGAAAAACAAAAAGATCATCCCATGATACATTACGAGCAAAACAACAACCATCAGAACCTTCCCTCTTCATCTTCCAACGATCTTCTTCTTGGCATCAATGGAGCCGACGCAACCCAAAAGAGAAAACGAAGACCCGCAGGGACACCAGGTTTTTAATAATTCCGCTTAAGCTTTGAATTTTTCCTATTGTCTAGGTTTTCAATAATTCAGCTAAAGATTAATCTTTTGGGATTAGTTTTCTATTAAGTTCCAAAAAGTGTTGTTGATATTACACATGAGTTGAGGATAGAAATAGTTTTTGGGGATTGGTTTTTTAATAAGTACTCCCTCAAGATTTCATTATCTAATGTTGGGTTTCCAATAATTTAGCTAAAGATTTTTATTTTTTTCCATATAATTTAGATGATCATTTTTTATCTTGTGTATTGGTGCTAACAGATCCAGATGCAGAGGTGGTATCTTTATCACCAAGGACGTTGCTAGAGTCAGATCGGTACGTGTGTGAGATCTGCAACCAAGGGTTTCAAAGGGATCAGAATTTACAGATGCATAGAAGAAGGCATAAAGTGCCATGGAAGCTTCTGAAGAGAGACAAGAAGGATGAGGAAGTGAGGAAGAGAGTCTACGTGTGTCCCGAGCCAACATGTCTCCACCACGATCCGTGTCACGCCCTTGGAGATCTGGTCGGAATCAAAAAGCACTTCCGCCGGAAACACAGTGTCCACAAGCAATGGGTTTGCGAGAGATGCTCCAAAGGTTATGCAGTTCAATCTGACTACAAAGCTCATCTCAAGACTTGTGGCTCACGCGGTCACTCCTGTGACTGTGGCCGCGTTTTCTCCAGGTTCTTCTTCATCATCATCATCTCTCATTGTTTTTTATCTATAAAAAAAGTTTGGTTAATTTAGTCGATCGATGTTTTGTGGAAAACCCTAACTATTGGCTCTAATCTATGCTGAGGATTAGTTTTCCTTGGTTTTTCCAAAAAAAGAAAAAAAATCTTGAGATTTTATTTATACAATTAAACTGTTCAGGTAAGATTATAATTGGAAATATGGAATCCTTAAACTAAACCAAATAATGTTTTATAGGATGGTGTGTAATATTGTTACATTACAGGTATATTTATCTATAGGGCATATAGATTTGTTTTTTTTTTAATGTGCATATAGATTTTGACACAGCCTAGCTTACCAATAGAAGCTCAGTGCTTGACTGTTGCCAGATTAATTTAATTTACATATATGAAGTCACGTTGATACCCATTATGGATTCCATTACCAACACTTTGTTGTATTTTGTTAATACACAAACTAAAAAGTCTTATAATCACATAATACCTTTCCAGAGATATCTAAACTATTCTAAATCCATAACTCAATTTTATATTATTGCTTTTGTCATTTGATTACGTACGTACACCATCAAACACTCTATTTTTATCATTTAGTTCAATTCTTTTGGTTATCAAACAAATATTTATTTCCACTACTAGCTCATTCTTGATTCTCTTCTCTTGTTCTTTTTTCAGGGTTGAGTGTTTCATAGAGCATCAAGATACTTGCAACATCCGGGAACCTCCACCCACCAACCACCGTCCTCTACAGCAGCACACGACGGGCCTTGCCGCTCCATCAAGAACGACTTCAACCGCAAGCTTTGGCCCTTTATTGCATGGACTTCCTTTGTTACGTCCACCACGACCTTCCAATCAACATTCACCAGCTTTTGCTTACCCTTTCAATGCTTCATCAACTCCTTTCGAAAGCCTCGAACTTCAACTATCCATAGGAATGGCGAGAACATCAGCACAAGCAAAGCGCAACGAAAAGGGAGAGACGAGTTTCACCAAGGAAAGAGCGAACGAGGAGGTAAGGAAGGCAGAGGAAACGAGACAAGAAGTTAAAAGGCAGATAGAGATGGCGGAAAAGGATTTTGAGAAAGCTAAGAGAATAAGGGAAGAAGCGAAAATCGAGCTGGAGAAGGCTCAGGTTGTTAGAGAAGAAGCAATCAAGAGGATTAATGCAACAATGATGGAGATCACTTGCCACTCTTGCAAGCAACTGTTTCAGCTGCCTGTTATGGCTGATGAGAGTACGTCGTCTCTTGTTATGAGTTACGTTTCCTCGGCGACAACTGAAGGAGAATGTGAGTGATCCAATGCATCTTCATATATCTCCATATGAACAAAAGAAAGCAAATAATCATTTTAAACGAAATGACGGTATTTTTTTGTGGATCTGTATGAATGATCAATTTTTACAATACGCATTATATTGTTTTCTTTTGCCACTGCAGAATTCACATAATGACTGTAAATTTGGAGAATCGTTTGAATTTCGATTAAAAATGTACCGGTTAATTTTTATTTTTTTGTGATTATTGAGGATCTTTTTATTTTGTTCCATTATTTAGCATTTTATTTGGTTTTGGGTAGCTTTATATAATTATATTAATTAGGAAAAAAATTCAAAAAGAAGAAAACAAAGAGGAGAGGTTTTATATGGTAGTTAAATGGTGTGGGGTTGATTGATTGGTTGGTGTAAGTTGTAACTTTTTTGATGAAAGAAGCATAATGATAAGGTTTTAGAAAATGTTTTGTTCTCTTAGAACTAGTGGAGCATTCTATACAAAAACAAAAATAATGAATGGAGCATTGATTGTGGAGGGGAAGCAGTAGTAATTGCATTAATTAATTAGAGAGAAAAAATGATAGAGGTAAAATTTTCTGCATACGAATCTCAGGTGGAAATGATTGATGTACACCTAATAAAATATGATCACGAGTCGCTTCTTTCTCTTTCCCATCGTTACATTCTCGTAGTTATAGCTTAGTCTCAATCCGACCAAACAAGAAATCATCTCTCTCACATGAAGACGGATCTTGCAAGATGCCATTTGAAAAAGTATTTTAACATTTTTACAATTAAAAGGCAGATGTATTAGAAAAGAAAAAAAAAAAAAAAAGTCATGTCTTAGGCTCCTAGTTTATTGCCTCCAAATACAAAATTTAGCTTTTTGGGAGATAGGTTTTTGGCAAAGTTTCATACACTAGTCACGGATAACACATTAGGTATATTGACCTTATATATGGTAAGAAAATTGTTTGCATTTGAAAGATATAAGTACTCCATATGATGAACAAATATCTTATCCAAACGAGCAGTGTATATGGTGATTAAAAAAAAGGGATTCTATCATCCATTGATAGGTTCAAAATTGTGAGCATGAAATGGTTAATTTTTAGAGTCTAAATGTTGGTTGTTACACCGTCTCTTTTGGTAAAATTATTACTATATATAATAGAATAAGAAGCAGTACAGTCTTGGCAAATTTATAAGTATGAGAAACCATGTGCTATAAAATGGGAGGAACAAATTCAAAGATGCCCACCCATCATGAAAAAGCCAAAATCAGTGTGAGAGAGAAAGCGGAGAGATATGTGTGTAAGTGCGGATGAGGTCAAAAAAAATTGCGGAAAGTAAACAAGACAAGAAATTTGTTAACGAGGTTCGGTTTTTCCTACTCCCCGGGACCACGTCCAGATTTTGATTTCACTAGAACAAGAAAGCAAATACAACTTATTCGCAAACGCGTAAACCAAGCACAACCCTCTTGATTCACCGCTCCCTTCTATTAACATGAAATCTTAAGGATAAATCTCTACCCTTAACTAAACTCTCCTGAGCCTAGATTTAATCAGGATAACCTAACCCTGAGCTAAACTCCCCCTGAGTCTAGACTTCAATTCTCCAAGTTTTTGGAACAACCACCACACACGAACTGTCACGCCAACGAACCCAACGATCACCAAGATTCTCCAATATGAACCGTCAACACCAACACACAAATAAGCTTGATCACACAAGCACAAACCCGCGAAACTACGTCGCACACGATCACACACACAATCTCTCACATCAAATCTCTTTGGGATTTTTACTCTCTTGCAAATCCACATTCTCATAAGGTCACGTCCCCCTTATATAACAAACAATAAACTTGCGCCTCAAGCTCTTCCTATCACACATAAGAGAAAGTTTCCAAATCCCATAAGGAAAAGGTTTTCCTTTTGCCAATTTCCTTTTCTCTTCAAGCAAACTTCCCCTTTACTTACATGATTCCTTTTGCTTCAAACAAAGATAATTTTCCTTTTCCTGACTTGACAAACGCTCCAACACCCAAGTACTCGAGCTCCTCATCAGCAGTTATGCATCTCATCTTCCTGAATCACATCTTGTACTACTTTCTGTACTACTTCAACGACTAGTACAGAACACCAAAATAACTGCATCTTCAATGTGTGTGTGGATACATATATTACACAAAATGCAATGATGAAAACACATAGGAGAGAGAGAGAGAGAAGAGTAAATGCTGATTTAAGAGCAGAAGTGGTTGTCGTTTCCTTTACAGGAAAAGGAACGACATGAATTTCAGTGCCAAAAAGATTGAAATGGTGGTTAGGAGTCAGGCTTCAGTCTCTCTCACCTGACTCTTCACTCACTTCCATGATTTCCTTCCTTCTTCTCTCCTTTTTCACTTTTCTTACTCCTTCTTTAAAGCCCCCACACACACTCTCTCTCTCATCTTATGTCACTTCGTGATCTCCTTGATTTAAAATTTTATGTTTTTTGTTCATTATGAAAGAAGTAAAATTTAAAGGATAATGTATATGGAACTTTGATTTTTTTATTTTAACTTATCTACATTTGTATAGGCAACTTCCGTAAACCCAATAATAGGTCCTTACATGAAGAAGGAAACAATTTATCCCGCGCTATCTGCGGATAGAAAACAAGAAAAAGAAAGTTGATATTAGCTTGAAGTTATTTAAATGAGAGAATATCGTCATTGTAAGGAAAAAGATTAATAAATAATAGTATACTTATACTAGTCTAAATATGTATATTGATTCATTTGTTTAAAATGAGAGAATCCGTAATTTTATGTATTTTTTGAATAAACATGATAACCAAAATTCAATTACAAAACTATGTTATCAAAATTCATAAAATGTTGAAAACCTACAATTTTGTTTATATGTTTATATGTTATCGCCTTTTCCGTTGATCTTTTACCAAAATCTCCGGTTTGGAATCTAGTTTATTCAACGGCATTCGCCTCCTAGCTAGTATCTTAAACCCGTTTCGTAGAATACTGTTTCTATCTCTAAAACCACAATTCTAAGCTCACCAGTGAAACACAAAAGCTTCGGATTGCTAAATGTACAAAAAAAAAAAAAATATAAGAGATGGAACACGTAAACGTTGTTGGAATACTTTCAAGCCCATGGACCACAATAATGTAAGTATACAAGAGGAAGAAATTGCTCTAATTATACACATGCGATTTAATTACATTGACCATTCCCTTCAATTCGGCCCCAACACCATCTACACCTTGAGGCAATGTTGTCTCAAAACCTTTTGGATATTTTGGATCACTCAAACAAATATGGTCTATAAATTTGAATCGTTCCACATCAGGATCTACATCGATCATATCAAGTTTGATGTAGTCTTCATATCAAAAAAAAAAAGTTTGATGAAGTCTTAGGTTGAAAAAGATTTTCATACATATAATTAATTAATCTTGGTGTGGCGATGTAAAGAGGTTAGTTTGAAAAAAAAAACAGAAGAGGCCTTAGGCTATCACATTTAGAGAGTTGCTTCTACTTATGAATCGTAGCTTTTGACTTTGAACTTTGAGTGAGAAATTCGATAATCTGGCTGAATGAATGGAAAATAAGGTTGTTAAGATTGATACATAATCAGTTGCCAATACTATTAAACTCCCGAAGATAGTTTGATATTCTACAAAATATAAAGCAACAAAACTTTGACATAAAACATTCGAATGCAAACTCAGTGCCACAAATCCAGGTGAATAAAGCGATATTAAGAAAATTTTAAAGGGTGAGTCAAAATCTTGGCTTTCTAAGAGGTTTCAACGTCTGAGAGATCTTCTCGGTAAAGCTCAAAGTCACTAGGGCTCCATCTGCAGAGCAAGTTCAGCCTGAAAGTAGCCATCTTCATTCGCAATAGACGCTGCAATAATAGTTAAAAAACAAGTATAAGAAAATTTTCTACAGAAAACATACAAATTAAAAGGAAAGGGTTTTGGTATACTGAAATCGTATTACCAAAATGTGGGCTGATTTTGGCGAAAGAGGTTTTCCTTCTTCACAAACTACAAAGTCAGCAACCAACTCCACGGTACCTACATATTAAATCAGCAGAAGAAATAAGTTTTTGGATTAATATATATAGCAAATTGTGTATGAGAGAGAGGAATATTAAGATGGTGAGACGACAAACCTTTGTTGAGTCGAACAGGCATCTCCAGCTTCCGAAGAAGCGGTTCCATCTCATGTGTGAACTGTTCTAGAGGGCCTTCCTTCAGTTCAACCTGATCATTTTGGTGGTACCGATAGAGTAATTAAGATAAAGTTTTTGAAATAACAGAGAGAAGCAGAGCCTGATCGTATTCAAGCTTGTCTGTTAATCTAGAAACAACAATATATAGAGAGGGCATAAGTTCCGTTCACAAACCGTTTCTACTGCAATGCTTCCAGTCCTTGAATAGTCGGAATCCTCATAAGCGTTAAACAAGCTGCAATACAACCAGAAGAAGCATTGTAAACAGTTACAACAAACAGACATGAATACAATTCAAACCTCACTGTTGTTTTCACTAAAACAAAAGAGGGAAAAAGAGGACTTCAAGAGAAAGATAGATACCTTTCAACTTCTTCCTTTGGCATATCTGTAACAAGAAGTCCAGTATCACCACGAAGCAGCTGAAACAACATTCCACAACATATGTAAATCTAACTGACATAAAAAAGGCCATATAACATATAAAAGAACCATTGTAAGAAGCAGAGTACACAAACCTTGGAAACTTTGTAGATACCAGAACGGACTTCATCAGAAGCAGAGCGACCAAGAGCAACCTGCATCACTTTGTTCGAACCTAGGAAGAACCTACACAAATCAGAACCAAGTCAGTCATAACACCCAAATCACAATCAAACATCAATCTCTTCATGATTAACTTGTAATTCTAACATAAACAAGAAGAAAAAAGAAACTAACTTTCCATTGTGCCTAAACTGCTGTCTAAACTCCTTGAATTTGATATTTCTCATGTTTTCAAAAGAGAAAACATAGACAGAAGAATATCTATCAACAGCCTCCCTAATTCCATTCACAATACACTCCTTATGCTCTCTTCCTTTCTTCTTCGTCTTCGACAAAGTAACTGCAGCAAAAATCAGAAAACAAAACACCCTTAGATAACCATCCATCAATCGATTCAACCATAGAAACTATGAAAGAACATTACAAACTCCAACAAGTTAAGATTTTTTTCAAAAGGGTTCCTCTAAAAACCTAACAAAACCCTAAAAACCTTGACGGCGGCTACAAAAGTTAACAGAGATACAATGGTTAAGACAATAGAAGAAGCAGAAACAGTGAAGGAAGAAGAGCTCAAACCTGGTCTGTCTCGCTTTGATTTAGGCATAGCTGAGGTTTCAAATGTTGTATGGAAGTGAGAGGAACGAAAGTGAACGGCTTCTGTTTCTTAAGCTCCTTTCACTTTTTCTTCAGGAAACTGAAACCCTCGTTCCCTTCTCTGCTTTAATTCGTCTTTTTTCTTATTAACCTGGACCCCTAAATCAACCCGACCCGGGTCCGGCCTGTTTCAGGCCTTATAGTTATCAGATATCTGGGCCTAAACTTTTTGTCATTGGAGGCATATGGTTTAGGATTTTTAAAAGGAAACTTTTTCGTTTGCGGATAATTTGGTTTAGTCTGTTAGCCGACAACATACTTGATTTCTGATAACTTTTATTGTGGATAAATTTTATTTTAATTTTAGACTGTTCCATCGTCGTCGATCATATTCGAAAATTACAACAGGTTTTGAAGCAGATCTCTTGAGCCTACTCTGGGCAGTAGAAAGCTTAAGTAACCTTAGACAAAACAAGATCATCCCAAAAAGTTGTGGAATATCCACATAGATACCCTCTCTTTCGACACTTGATTTCAGACATTAGAAGATTTTTGGATGTCTTTGAGTTTTCAGTTGTAGTTATAGCTGCAAATGAATGTAATCGGGTGGCTAAAGAAGTCGCAACAAGTGTCACGAGAGATCATCGGTACCAATCTTACATTGCACGCGAGGGGCCAATGTGGCTTCAAGAAATCATCACAGAGGAATCTAAGCTTCTGGTTTGAGATTCTTCTTCGGGCACTTCGTGCCTTTATGTTTATGTGCTTTGCTGCAGTCCTACTGGACTTGTTTCTTTGTTTTATCAGTCCACTTATTTTATGTTTTTCAGTTAGAACCAATAATGGTCTTATGTTCTTTTTATCTTTAACTATAGTCTGTAATTGAGTTTTGCTGGTTTTGTATAAGTTTATAACCGTGCCCGTTTCTTGGGTCTTTCGTCTTGCCCTTTAGTGTGGGCGTGTAATGTTTCTCACTTTCTTGTGAAATATCAATAAACAGTGTTAAAAAAAAACAAAGACTGTTAGCCGACATACTTGATTGCGGATAAATTTTATTTTAATTTAACTATTTTTCAAAAAATTTGGTTTACTGTACAATTTGAAAAATAATTTAAATTAAAATAAAATACTAGTGTTTTTTTGTTTTTGTCAAAAACCTAAGATCTTAAGTTAAATCTTATAAAAACAATTAAAAATGGTACCTCAAAAAATGTTACTTATTAAACCTCTTAATAGTTGATACTGAATTATAAATCATATGAATGAATGCTCGAAAGACTGGGAACAACCACTAGTAGTGACACTAATGGCAATTTGTTCTTGGACTAAGGGTCCACTCTTTGTAGCTAGCTATATATCTTCAACACTCTCATGCTCGTAGTTGTCGCCGTGGCTTGTTTCTTGTTCTTGGACGAAATGCTTATTTGGGAAAGTAAAAGACATTAATTACATTTGTTAAGATTTGAGAAAATATATATGCATGCATACACTAAAAGTATTTTCAAAATTCAGTGTACTTGGAGCAATATTGATTGTATGCAGGGTCGGCTCAAAAAAATTAAGGATCCTGAGCTGAAAAAAATAATTGGCCATAATTTCTTATGTATTTTTATAAATAAAAAATTTTGGACTCTAATTTTAATAAATTTAGTTAAAAAAAAAAAAAAAACAAAATTGGATGGACCTTGTGCATGAGCACTCCCTGCACATGGGTAGAGCCGGCCTTGATTGTATGTGGGATATATATCGTGCTATGGGAAAAGATCAAGAGATGAGTGGAATTAGTTCCGTGAGGGGAAATCAAAACACAAAAATCGCTCGAGATTATTGTTGCTACTGGTATTGATGGTGGGTCGATATCTCTGGCATAAATGAAAATTATAGAAAATGACATTCAATTGGGGTATCATAACGTTCTGGAGGTTTTATTTTGTGTGACATTTTAATTATATTTTTGCAAACAATTGTAACAAATTTACAAATAATCTTTGGAGAGATTTTTCCTAGGTAATTTCATCATTAATTCGAGTCAGTATGATTTTTTTTTATTTATTTTTTTCATCATCGAGTCAGTATGAATAAAACTTTTTTTTTTTGTCCCTAAATGTTATTATATGTATGTATCGATACTTAGTTTTCATTTTTGGATCTACATCTTTAAAACAGTATGCAAGTCACATGAAAGAGAGTAGAAGAATGGAAAGAGAACTTAAACCCAAAACTTCCAAATTTGGATCTTTACCAAGTGTATATGGCTTTACGTACGCATGTTGCTTACTGACAATAATGACTTAGGAGCACTTTTCTCTCTTTTGGAGTTCTTGTGTGTGACAAAGCCATCGAGGGAAAGCCACAAAGCATGCTTAGCACGTGTCAACGTCAACCTATATAATATGTTACTTTTATGATTTATCTACATCTTGTTTAACTTCACAATTATGTTTTAATAAAAGTTAATAGCACCGAACATGTTTCTGCATTGTCATTTTGGCTCAAATAGTAAAACGCATTACCGTTCGTATAAGAAGTTTTGGCATCGATGTAAATGTATAATAGTTTTCTTGTCATTTTATAACAAATGCTTTTGCAAAACAAATGAAAAAAAAAAAAAAAAAAAAAGATTATTTTGCAGTGAAAGGCTCTTGAAAGCTTGTGGAGGTCCATTATATTCATTATAACGATTATAAACACTTTCGTCTTATTTTTGCATTACGTCTTCACTTCGCATTCTGTTTTCACTTTGATCATGAATATACATTCCAACACATAAACTCTCTTTTTCATTCTTTCTACACATTCACCAAGAAGGTTTAATCCTTCCAAACTTTGCTACTTTTGTAACGGGTTTCCAGAAACAAATATTTGAAGCTCACATCTTCCTATATCCCTTAACTTGTTCACGATATCTACAATTGAAGTGGAGCACAATGAAAAAGGTATAGGGGTAGAATTAAAGACGAAAACACCTTAATTGGCTAGATAAATAAGCTGATCATCATGAGCTCAGGAGCATCGGGTCGTTAATGGTTAGAGTGGGTATCAAAGTAAAAACCATAAATTAGAGAAATGTGGGGAGAAATGAAGAGTGTAGTTGCAATGGTGGCGGTTCAGTTTATGTTCGCTGGAATGTTCATTTTGTTTAAGATAACAGTCGACGATGGAACGAATCTCAAAGTCCTTGTGGCGTATCGTCTGTCCTTTGCTACTCTTTTCATGCTTCCCCTTGCCCTCATCTTCCAAAGGTTTCCTACTTTCTGTTTCTTACATTTTTATTGTTATCATTCTGCATTTTTTAATGTATATATAACCTTATACATCTCTATGCGAAAAGCCGGGTCTAACAAGTACAAAAAAAGCTAAGAGAGAATTGAAAAAACACATACTCGAATCACCCTACCAACCTCACCATGTCATTTGTGTGTATTTGTAATCACTTAATACGCTATGTTAGTTTATTTTAATTATAATGTTTTGTTTTGGATTCCTTGTGATCAGGAAGAAGCGGCCAGAATTTACATGGAGGCTGCTCTTAATAGCAGTTGTTTCGGGGTTGCTCGGGTACTCAGAACTAGTACAATATCAGTTTTTAGCTGAAATTTTGGTGCTTTTATTTATTTTTTGATGCGAGAAAATACTGAAATAATCTCAATTCATAGATAAAACAGTGTTGCAATGTGTAAATTTGAATAAATGAAGAATGTTGGGATTGCCAAATTACAACAAAAACCAGTCATTAGCACCCTTGGAATTATCATTGCATTGCGATTATGATATTTTTTTTGACTATTATACAGAGCGGCGATACCAAATATTCTCTATTTGCCGGGTATGGCTCGAACATCAGCGACATTTTCAGCTGCAACCAGCATAATTAGCCCATTGATCACCTTGGTTTTGGGTTTGGTGTTTAGGTTAGACACAAAACTTTATTTCATTAATTTTTGAAATTGTACAATCATTCCCTTCATTTCATGGAATTAAATGTTTTAGTTTTTCTTATATATGCAGGCAAAATTCTCAAAATTGTATATACAATTTTTATATATTTGACGTTTTCGTATTTTTATAGAGTTTCCTGTTAACTTTAAACAACATAGCATACTGAGTTACTGACTATAAGTACAAAGTCAATAATTTTATCTCGTGCATAGTAAATTAATCAAAAAAAGTTAATTAAACTTTCGAAAACCGAGGAATATTATCAATGCTTAACTAATTTGTAAACTTGTTCCACTGATTAAAAATTGAATAATTTCTAGCTGATGAGAACTTAAAAGGCTAAATAGACTTTTAATTCTAATCTAACATTCGGTCGATTTGTCGTTGAGCCAACAGGATGGAAACTCTAAGACTGGGATCGAACGAAGGGAGGGCTAAGCTGGTGGGGACGCTGCTTGGTGCATGTGGAGCTCTCGTGTTTGTATTCTACAAAGGTGTTGAGATTCATATATGGTCAACACACGTTGACTTACTCAAAAGCTCGAATACTGGCCGAGCCACTACTAACCACCACATGTCAATCCCAGGGGTTCTTATGGTTCTTGGCAGTAACGTTTCAACATCACTTTGGTTACTATTTCAGGCAAGTGTTACTTCCCCCTCCTCTCTCCATATGGACCATATCATCCTTCGGCTAGTTTAATAAATGAAGCATTTTTTTTTTGGATCCCACTGCAAATTACTTGGGATCTAGGGTTTGATTGTTTGAGATGCCTTATCTGTGTTTGGTAATGAAAAATATCATTTTATTTAGCAACATTGTAAACTATACGTGGATGAAATTAATCAACTACAAACTAATGATATTTTTCGCTTTTGTTTAATTGATGTTCCAAGTTTAAGTAGAAAATTACTGTATTTCTAACAAAGAAATTTATATATAGATCTAAGTAATTCATTTATATGTACACATTGTTATTCAAATATAAATTTAAACATAGTATAAACTAGAAGTGACAAAATAAAGAGCTATTAGTTATTATATATGTACGTTGATAAAAAGTTGGAAGACAACGCAAAATCTTGGTTTAGGCAAAAATAGGCAAGGAACTTGGAGGACTTTATTGGAACACAAGTCTAATGAATGGGGTGGGAAGTTTGGTGTGCGTGATTGTTGCTCTCTGTTCGGATCATGACTGGGAGGAATGGCGATTAGGATGGGACATTAACCTCTTAGCGACGCTTTATTCGGTAAAACAATCTATACCATATAATTAATGATCAGTTAGATATGCGCCTAAATGCATATGTAAATGTGTGTAATGCACGATTATATTTATATTGTCATCCGTGATGTATAGGGAATCGTGGTATCGGGAATAGTCGTGCCTCTGATTGCATGGTGCATCGCAACAAAAGGACCGTTATTTGTTACGGTCTTTAGTCCTATAAGGCTGGTGATCGTAGCCCTTATCGGATCATTTGCTTTAGAGGAACCGCTTCATTTGGGAAGGTATATCAAACTCGATCGTGTGTCCACTAATTAACCTATTGATTCTTGTGGTTGATATGTGTGAATCTTAATCGTTTTTATTTTTTATTTTGCGAAACTTGCAGTATAATCGGTGCCATGATAATGGTGGGAGGAGTATACCTAGTGGTATGGTGTAAAATGAAGGAAAAGAAGAGTGCCTCTACGACATCAGACCATATTGTAACAAATAAGAATAACAAAGAACTGGACCTTGGTAATCTCTCAGCAGTAAACAGAGATGTCCCCTGAATCCCTCATATGAGTTACATCACCAAATATTTTAGATCTACCGTAGAAGCAAAATAGAATATAGGGTCGATAAGTGAAAATTAAGATCTATCTGATTGCCCGAATTGGTGTGAATTAGCCTTTGAAGTATCTCTTTTCATTTTTCAACGTGATTTCAGTATTAAAACATAATTACAACTTGATACTTAATTATACCTCTAAAATGCGATATTTTCTATTTCTAGTTTGTTTTATTGTCTAAGGCTCTAAGCCGTAAATTCGTCGTAAGAAATTATGACAAACTAGTCCGCCACAACATTACATGTTTTATGTTTTTGAAGTGATTAGTCTTCATGACCTATGTGGTTTTTATCTACCGTTTTATTACTTTTTTTTTTTTGGCTCGAGGTTGGAACTCAAAACATCAATTGTTTGAATGTTACACAGTTGCATGTGCTAAGAAACTATCATATTTTTAGTGGATTTATCATTATACGTGCTTTCCATGCCATGTACACCGTAGATTTTCACTTTGATCTAATGTAAATTATGTAAATAAGTTTTAAAAAAAAAAAAAAAAAATAGTCCACCATTATTGCCAGAACAAATTATTAGTCCACTGTCGAAGAAAAGAAAAAGCAGTAGACAAAATTTTTGAGTAAAATTAAAGGGATAGATAACGTTAGGAGAGGAATCATGACACGTGAACATGGACTATATATAGGTCAAACTTGGCAACTGGGACATTTCTTTAAATACCCACAAAATATCACTTTCGAAGAAGTAGGAAAAACAAAAACAAAGAAGATCTATTCCAAGGAGAGAAAGAGAATGATGAAGAAGCAAGTGACGATCGTGGCGGCTCTTATGATTCTGATGGCTTTATCTTCCAGCTTGGATATGGTGGCGGAGGCTCAATTAGGCCCCGGAGACTGTTACGACGGTTGCTCCACCGCCTGCGTCCAACGTGACTGTGAGTACTCTCTTCTTTCTTAGTTTCCTCCACAAGGTATATCTCTCCTCCATTTGTATAATAACTTCTTGTCGATCTTCTCTTTTCTTCAGCTAGAAAGACGTCCCGATGTGATCGCAAGTGCTCCATTCGTTGTGGCCCAGGTAAAGATTATGAAACCGGATCCGTACTGGACCGGTCTGTGATACGTTTGTCTGATTTGTGTTAAACCCTGATTAACCGGTCGGTTAAGGTTGTAGAATATTTTGCATGCAACAGATCGGAATTTCTGATATTTCATAGTGTTTGTCTATTGAATTCGGATTATAAGTTATGGGATGAGTTGTTTTTTGTAATTGAATTGAAAAAAAAAAAGAGGGTGGGATTTTGGTTCTAATGTTGACGTTTTTAAATTGCAGATGCTGTCAGGGCAAGAGGGACTGGTGTTTGAACTTTATATCTTACCAACATCCATGCATTTAGATTCAATTATGTTGTAATCTTATCTCTATAATCGTATCTCTGGAAAACTTATTCTGTAATATCTATGTAGTTATTGAAACCAATAAATAATAACAACTAAAATGGTTGATTAAAGTACGAATGCTGGTTTGTAATCAACTTCAAAATGTATTGAGAACCGGATCAGCTGGTCTTACTGAAATCTAATAAATCAGTTTGCAACTATAACTTAAATCTCATGTTAGTATCAACCTAAAACTAGTACTAAGAAGAACCGGCTTACTCACGTCTTGTCTTCTCTTTTTTTTTTTTTCGTCTTGTCTTCTCTTTCGTCGTCGGTAAAAATATTTAATTCTGTAGTAGAATAATGAAACCAGATCCCTACCGGACCGATCCATGATATTTGTTTGATTAGAAGCACTCCTAACCAGTCGGTTAAGGTTTTACTATGCGGTCAGATATACCATGTAACAAATCCGGATTTTGTATGGATGAAACTTAATACGTGTTTGTCTAGCTACTAGAATTAGATCAGAAGCTGTGGGATGATTGGTTTTGTAACTGAGTGGAACTATAAGCGGACTTGCAACTGATGTTGATGTACCTTGAATTGCAGGAGCTGAAAGGGCAAGAGAGACTCGTGCCTAAACTTTAAAAGTCACTAAGATCCATAGATATAATTATGTTAACCAGTAATGACAACTGTACTGCTAGATGATCATCTAGATTGTCATGATAATATTCTATATGCGGGAATATAATATAGGAATATAGATTCATGGTTTAAAAAGTTAATGCATAATACGAATTTGAATTAGTACCATGACAAAAATATGCTATACCGACGATATACAGTGTGTAATCACCCATAAATAAAACAGTTATACTTATGATGGGAAATTGATAAATCAGTGTAAACAACTGTTGTATTATCTATATAATGGATTATTGTGTGATTTTAGATTTTTAATAAATATTCAACATGCATGCTTAAATGTTAAAGTTGAAATGTTTTATTAAAAATATGGTAATATTATAACACAACTTCATGTACATGAGAAATGGTGAATAATTGCTAAAAGCAATGGTCACAAATGAGTTAGAATTCCTCAATGAGTCTGGATGATTCAAAGAAATTGATGGGGAACTGAGGAGTACATGTTGTTGGATCAGTTTGACCTGAAGGCTTGCTGACCGATCCAATTTTGATCGATTCAAATGATTAGAATGTAACCTCTCTTAAAGAATTATAGATTGATAAATGATGTGTCGTTCGTAAACTAAAGGAAAAAGAAATTTGTAAACCGGTAGTAAAAGAAACGATATCATATTTGATGAACCATGCATATAAACTGGGTTAAGATTCAAATTTGAGAAAAGTGTCAAAATCCTAAATTTTTTTGTCTAGTACATGATTTAAGATTTAGATAAACACAATTTTCAAAAAGTTATTAATAAGGATTGAATGGGGTTAGGTATTTTATACTGATATTTTATTGTATCATTTCTTCACAGATTTACTCATTTCCAACATTAATTTAAAATTCAATGATATATATAGCTAACAAAATTTGACTTTTTTTTTTTTGTCTAAAGACAAAAAAACTTGATGTGATGAAACATACAGGTATAATCAAAATTGAAATGATTTGTAGTATTATTCAGTGAAAAGACTCCAAGTTCAACGGTGTTAAATCTCTATCAGTAACAAATTTGGTTAAAAAAGGTTTTAACTTAAAAAAAAAAAGTCAAAACTATGGTTGGGTCTTTGCTTGATGCGAGGCGTAGGTCATGCGGCCTCGTGGACAATAATGCTTCACAATGTCCACTTATTACAATTTCATTCTCTTTCTCTCTCTTTCTTCCAAACACAAAATTATAATTAAAAAAAAATTGTCATTTAGAAAAATCCAACAAGGAAGAGAAGAAAATAAGCATTTGTGAGAGTCCCTAGATTTATTTATAATTCTTAATTATTTTCTTGCTGTCTCGTGAACTATTAAAGTAAAATCAAGAAAAGCTCCTGAGTACTGAAAAAAAAAGCAGAGAACAAGAAAAAAAAGAAGACGACTTTATCTTTTTCTGGTTTTTGTTGTTCTTCTTTGACTTTATGGGTTCTCCTACAGATCTGCTTAAATCTCTGTGATCTTGTCTCTAATTCTTCTGTTTACCCGTAATTTCCGGAGGATTTTGAGTTTTGAAGCCAGACCCAGATTCTGTTCTTGCTTTTCCTGAGCTTCTGGATTTGGTCAGAGAAGCTTAAGTTAAAGAGATTTGTCTTTGAAGATTGATGTAATTAAGCTTCTTCTGGGTTTTCATCAGTTTGTCTAAAAGGTTAATTCTTTAACTCTTTCTCCTTCTGTCTTTGATGTTTTTTTGCAGTGAGAATCTATGTTCTAACACCAAATCCCAGGTTTTTGGGATCAAATCTTTGTAATAAACAGTTTTGTCTGAAAATTAACTAAGATTTTGACTTTGTAGGAAGTAAATCAGATGAGTAATTTTCATTTTGAGAAATACCTGATTTTTGTTGAAACTTTTATTGCTCTTGATTCTATTTTGTTACATACGACTCTGTTATCTCCAGTTTAAGTAAAGATCATCTGAGATTCTTAGTTAATATATATGACTTTATTGCTTCAATATCAAATTGAGTCCTGATTTTGCCTCCTATGATCTTAATTTTGGGGCATTTTTGGTGAGTTATCATCAAGATTCTCTTTGATTAATTATTGTCTTTAAGAAAATAAAGCTATATTGGGGACATGACCTAGTTTCTTTATTGGGCATGCGATACTTGTATATCTCTTCTTTCCTAAGCTTTAGCGGAACCTCTTTCTCTTTTAGGCTCCACTTTACTTTTTTGGCTCTTTTCTTTTTATTTCTTACTTATTAAGAAGATGACTCAGAATTGCCTAGCTGAATGACCTTTTTTTTCTTGTGGGTGCTTATGATAATGGACAGTGAGTGGAGTCTCTCATCTCAAGTCTGAAGCTCTTTATTGGATTTGAGCATTTCTGGTTGTCAAGAAAGGGTTGGTCTTGTTGAGAAGAATCCATTAAAAAAGAAAGAGAAATGTCGTTCCGGGGCATTGTTCAAGATTTGAGAGATGGGTTTGGGAGCTTGTCGAGGAGGAGTTTCGATTTCAGGCTCTCCAGTCTTCATAAAGGGAAAGCTCAGGGTTCTTCCTTCCGTGAGTATTCGTCTTCCCGTGACCTCTTGTCGCCTGTGATAGTTCAGACTAGCAGATGGGCTAATCTTCCTCCAGAGTTACTCTTTGATGTGATCAAAAGATTAGAAGAGAGTGAGAGTAATTGGCCTGCAAGAAAACATGTCGTGGCTTGTGCTTCGGTTTGTCGGTCTTGGAGAGCTATGTGCCAAGAGATTGTTTTGGGTCCTGAAATCTGTGGGAAGCTCACTTTCCCAGTCTCCCTCAAACAGGTTCGGTTTACCCTCTACTGTTTTACAAATTTGATGTTGTTTTAAGTTCAAACTACTGATGAATAAGTTTTTTTTTTGTTTTGTGTTGTAAAATTTTCCAGCCAGGGCCTCGTGATGCAATGATTCAGTGTTTCATTAAAAGAGATAAATCAAAGCTAACATTTCACCTTTTTCTCTGTTTAAGTCCCGGTAAGCTTTGTTAGGATCTAGCCTACTTGATTTCCTATTTACTTAGTTTATGGCTAAATAGAAGTTGAATAATGTTTTTTCAGCTCTACTAGTCGAGAATGGGAAATTTCTTCTTTCAGCTAAAAGAACTCGTAGAACTACTCGAACCGAGTACATTATCTCCATGGATGCTGATAACATCTCAAGATCCAGCAACTCTTACCTCGGAAAGCTCAGGTTCGTTTTTAATCCTTGATCTCATCTTAGTACTCAATCCGGTTTTGGTTTGGATTCGGTTCAATTTGTTTGCTTTTCAAATATATAAACCGAATGGACTGATACATGTTCGGTTTGGATTTCTTGTGTTTAGAAAATGTATCTTTAACTTTGAAGGATTTCAAAGAATTTGCGGTTTTATCGAACTTTTAGTAACACATAGTAGCTTGCTACTGTTGAATTTTGTGGTCGTTTATCCATTGCTCATTGAGGTTTCTTTCTCTCAGATCGAACTTCCTTGGGACAAAGTTCTTGGTGTACGACACGCAACCACCACCAAACACATCTTCGAGCGCACTTATCACTGATCGAACAAGCCGAAGTAGGTTTCACTCCAGACGAGTTTCTCCTAAAGTCCCATCTGGCAGCTACAACATTGCTCAAATAACCTACGAGCTCAACGTGTTGGGCACACGAGGGCCACGGCGAATGCACTGCATCATGAACTCAATCCCAACTTCATCGCTCGAACCAGGTGGTTCAGTCCCTAACCAACCCGAGAAACTCGTCCCGGCACCATACTCTCTCGACGACTCATTCCGCAGTAACATCTCCTTCTCCAAATCATCATTCGACCACCGCTCCCTCGATTTCAGCAGTTCTAGATTCTCTGAAATGGGAATATCCTGCAACGACAACGAAGAAGAGACGAGTTTCAGACCGTTGATTCTGAAAAACAAGCAGCCGAGGTGGCACGAGCAGTTGCAATGCTGGTGTTTAAATTTCCGCGGACGTGTGACAGTTGCATCGGTTAAGAATTTCCAGCTTGTAGCAGCAAGACCGTCGCAGCCTCAAGGGACGGGCACAGCACCAGCCACTGCACCGGCTCACCCAGAGCAAGACAAGGTGATTCTCCAGTTTGGTAAAGTGGGGAAAGATATGTTCACAATGGATTATAGGTATCCGTTATCGGCGTTCCAGGCGTTTGCCATTTGCTTAAGCAGCTTTGACACCAAGCTGGCTTGTGAATAGAAGAAACCACTCACCTCCTTCATCATTCATGCTAATCACTTGTCTCTCTCTTTTATCTATGCTTTTGGTTTTTTTTTTTGGGCAGATCAAAATTTGTCTCAATACTACTCAGTTGCTACTGTGAGAGTCAGACGTCTACTATTAACATCATCTTCTCTATTCTAAATCAATTGAACATTTAATAGGTAGTCTTTAACATTATGTGCTTCGAAGAAATCACAGGGAACAAGAAAGAACACACAACATGTGTCAGAACTCGACATGATTCTTCTAGAGGTCTCAATCTTGTACGAGAAATTTCAGTAAAGATGACATAAGCAAACCAACAGAGTGGAACATATTCACAGAAGTGAATAAAGAGCAGCAGCAGCAAGGACTTTAAGCTCAAGTCTGAAAAGTAATATCCCAAAAAGAACACATGAATGAAAGTGAACTAATAACAGAGTTGTCATTCTCTCTACATTATTTGAGTACTCAAATATTTTTCTAATTAGTAATATAGATTTTGTTGTTTTCCATAAAAGCATTCATCTAATTTGATTTATCCAAAACTTTACGAATTAAAGCAAATATTAAAACCAAATACTCGTATGAAAACGGAACAAATCTGAAGTTTAATGTTTGAAGATGCCGATATTCGTTTATTTTCCTCTATTTTTCTTGTAATGAATTAATAAATGTAATAAATTTTTTTAGTACGACATAAAAAAAAAAAGCCAAAAAAAATGTAAGAGAAGGCAAAAGGGCAAAAAATAAAAAATCAAAGGTCCCATTGTTGGGAAATCAAGGAGGAGGAGGAGATGGTATCAATGTCATTATCTCATCATAATCTCTGGCCACCGGAATCTGGATCTTCGGCGTTTCGTGGTTTCGCAACCGCCGCTTCCGTACACGCCTGCCACCATGTTAGCCGTCACCTCCGCCTTGGCTTCCATCTTCGCTCTTCCCTTCAGGTTCTCCTACTACTCCTCTCTTCTCCGTAATTTGGGACTAGTTTTAGCTTCGTTCTAGTAGAATTTCTGGAATCACAAAGCTTAAATTGCTTCACCTGGCGCTTCTGATTTCTGGGTCAATCTCATTTTCTTTGACTATGCTCTGTTTCTACAGAAACTGCAGCATTTTTCTGATGATGCAAGAATGGAGTTTGCAAGATACCAAAGAGTGATTCTATTCAATGGGGCTAATTTTCTCAAGTCTAGAGTTGATATCCGATTGTCCCCATCTTCGTCATTTGTATGTTTCTTTAATGGTGGAGAGAGTAGGATCAACCCTAGAGGAGGTGAGCAAGGATCGGAGACTTCCAAGAGAAACACAGTTAACGGACGCAGATGGACTAATGTCCTCCTTGCCATTAACGTTATGTATGTAACTTCTGTTCATTAGAGGGATGCTTTTATAATCAAGTTTGAGAGTTATGAGCTAAGAAGGCTTATGGATTTCGTTTTGTGTTAATGATGCCAGAATGTGTATTGCACAAGTTGCATCCGATGGGAAAGTGCTGACATGGGGAGCCAAGGTACCGTATACGGAGACTTTATTATAATGTGAGACAGTTTGTTTCTTGCTGCAGATTGATATGTGGATGAATGCAGATAAACAGTTTAATCGAAAGAGGTCAGCTATGGAGACTGGCTACAGCTTCTGTTCTTCATGCGAATCCTATGCATCTCATGGTCTGTTTCTAACCAATCGCTCAGCTTTGTAATATCTAATCAATGCTGCTTAAATGTTTTGCTGTCTGTATGGCTAAACTGTTTCTCCTTTGTTTAGATAAATTGCTATTCTTTGAATTCTATTGGACCAACTGCTGAGAGTTTAGGTGGTCCAAAGAGATTTCTTGCCGTTTACTTGACATCCGCAGTTGCAAGTAATTGACGACTCATACACTTTCTTTGATGTGGATGATTATATTTCTCTGTTTCGAGTTTCCTGACTCACACAACCCATGTTAAGAGTTCTAGGTTCAGCTATGAGCTACTGGTTCAACAAAGCGCCATCAGTTGGTGCTTCGGGTGCAATTTTCGGATTGGTAAGTCTCGTGGAACCATAAGCCTTTGTTTTAGACTCGTCTCATGCAAATGAAGTTTGTTAAATGAATGCCCCTTTTGTTTGGCTAGGTTGGTTCGGTAGCGGTATTTGTTATAAGACACAAACAGATGGTCAGAGGTGGAAATGAAGATCTAATGCAGATAGCTCAAGTTATTGCCCTAAACATGGTAAGTAATACAAGAGAGAAAATTGTATAATCTCTCTTAAGTACTAACAAGTTTTAGCTATGCAGACAATGGGTCTAGTGTCCAGACGCATAGATAACTGGGGACATGTAAGTAACCCAATCATGCCTTCCAATGTACTAACCAGTCCGATACCTTTTGGATTGATGGTCTGATAGCATCTCGGGTGAATTCAGATTGGTGGCTTGCTTGGTGGAACCGCAATGGCATGGCTTCTAGGACCACAATGGAAGTATGAGTACACGACAAGAGATGGTCGGAGAGTCTTCATGGACAGCGCTCCTATTCCACTCCTTTTGCGGTGGAGAAATGAACAGCGACGTCTGTGATTGGAGGCCAAGGAAGCTGAACACTTCCTCTCTCTCTTAATGCCGTGTGCCAGTATGAATATAGGGATTGAATGTATTTTGAACGATTTGATCCTTGGTTAAAAATACAGCTTTATTATACTAGTAAACAGTTGATGCTTGATATCATAGAGGCTTTTATAAGAGCCATCCTAGGATCAATTGGTGGATTGGCAAAGGGTAGTTTTGTACATTAAAATCTTTCTTTCAGGGGTTGCATCATCTTCCCTGATAGGTAGCGGTTTATGTTTCCATCTTATTTTTCTTTCTTCTTGAGGCACTCTTAGTTCTGTGCCATAATCAAGGTGTTTAAAACTGGATTGGACCTGCCGGTCTGACCGGAAAATGATCCTACTGTGGTTCTAGGACCACAGTGGAAGTATGAGTACACAACAAGAGATGGTCGAAGAGTCTTCATGGACAGTGCTCCTATTCCGCTACTATTGCCGTGGAGAAATGAACGGCGGCGGCGTTGATGCAAGACCAACGAAGCTGAACACTTTCTCTCTCAATGCCGTGCGAATATAGGGACCGAATGTATCTTGAATGATTTGATCTTGATCAAAAAAGTAGCTTATTTTATTATATAAATGCTATTATACTACTGAATTGTTGGTACTAGAAATGGAACGCGTTGCGTGGGTTTATTGCGTGAGTTTAGCAATATATATTTAATTTTTTTATAGTTTTGTAAATTATATTATTTTAAATATTTTTAATTACAATATTATTTGAAAACTATATGTAATTCTATTGGTAAAAAGGCGGTTATATAAATATAATAGAAATATTATAAGTGATAATTGTATAGATTTATACGTTTATTTATAATATACTACATATATTAAACGTTTTTTTTTCTTTTGCATTTGACTTATTATCCTATAACCGTTCATTATATATATATATATATATATATTAGTACATGAATTCTTATGCATAACATTTTCTTCTATAATTATAGAAACTCAAGTGTGCTATTTTAAATGTGGTTTATCTTTTCCAAATTTATATCTATTGTATTTAGAAGCAAAAATAAAAGATATATATATGGTCCACTCCGGAACATCCCTTTGTGAAGTGTAATTTTGATTAGGGCTGGGCCGGGTCCGGATATCCGGCTTTTTTAGGGTATCCGGATCTGCCTTTTCATTATCCGGATCCGGATCCGTTCCACCCGGATATCCGGATTTCGGATATCCGTAAAAATAGCCGGATATCCGGATCCGGGTTTTTTTATATAATTTTTTTTACTAATATAAAACTTGAAGAAAAATATTTAAAAACATATAATTTAATATAAATAATTAAAAATATTAGTAGAAAATATTATTCTTATAAAAATAATAAAATTTATTAATAAATTTTTAAAATAATAGTAATAAAATATTAAAAATATTATTATAATATAAAATATCCCGGATCCGGATATCCGGCTTGAAATTTTCCATTATCCGGATCCGGATCCGCTTTTTCATTATCCGAATCCGGATCCGCTCCACCCGATATCCGGTTTTTCGGAGCGGATCGGAGCAGATCTCGGATCGGATCTCGGATCCCGGATCCCGGATAATTGGTCTCAGGGCTAATTTTGATGCTAGTTTCAGCCAAATCACTATGCAAGCTCGTGGAGGATGGATTATACGGGATCATCACGGTACTGCAAAAGCATGGGGATCTTTGGATTTGAATGGTGCAGCTTCTCCGTTGATGGTCGAAGCAAAAGCACTTCTGACAGCGATGCATCAAGCATGGTTAAGAGGATTCACTCAAGTAATCTTGGAGGGAGATTGTGAAGTATTGATCAACTTAATCAATGGAAATTCCAGTCATAGTGAAGTAGAGAACCTGCTGCGAGACATTGGTTTTTGGAGAGGAAAGTTTAGTGATATAAGTTTCAATTTTGTAAAACAATCTTGTAATTGTGTAGCTGATAGTTTAGCCAAATTCGTTTGTCCAATGTCGTTTTTCCTTCCGGATTCATTGATTCCGCCAATATGGCTTAAGGAACTGCTGTGTAACGATTTGTTAACTTAATAAAATAAGTTCTTGACGAAAATATATATTTTTTATTTTATATATTGGCTTTCTCTTTAGGAATTTATCTTTCTGAGACTAATTTTGTCACTCAGTTCCGATATTTTCATATTCTATTATTTTTATTTTTATTTTTTGTTTGTATCTTATTAAATCCAATGTTGCAATTGTGTTATTTCTACCTATTTTTGATATTTTAAAAATAATCTTTTATATTTTTAATAAGTGCATAATGTTTGTACTACTATCAAATGCATTTATACATTTACTTATATAAAATTTTATATTATATTTATGATAAGCTAAAAATTAATAGTATATATAATTATATTTTAGTTTTGTTTTCAATTATTATACACGACACTATTTAGCTATATTTTAACATTTTTTTACTGTCATTTATAAACTAATCAACTATTATTTTAATTAGTAAATTGTCATAAGATTCATCACTAATTCACTATATATTTTTTGAAAACTAAAAAATGTATGTCTTTCCAACTTTTATACAATTTTTAGAAATACCCAACATATTGATTTTTAAATATGTCATGATTCATTACTATATTTTTTTTTGAAAGCTAATAAATGTATGATCTTTCAACTTTCATACAATTTTAAAAATATCCATCATATTGATTTTTAATATATCAATTATAAAACTGAAATGTTTATAAAATTTTTAATATGATTAATCTTAAACATTTTCTCGCTAAAATTCAAATTATATTTTTAGGTATAAATTTATATTTCTTTGCTTTTTACATATAATATTAATTCATTTGTATTTAACTTAAATATTTTATAATTATAAGTAACAATAAATAAAAATAAGTATGTATTGAATGAACATTTTAAATAAATTATATTTTTTAATTTTTAATTAGATACATGCTTAGGTGGATGATGATGTGGATAGCCTAGATGGAGAGAGAACTCTCCCATTATATATATAGATTTGATGTCGTAAATTCTTTTCTGAGAGCCAACTTAGGACTAATTGGTGAATTGGCAAACATAACGAGGAATACATTGTTCAAACCATATAGAAGAAAAAAACCATAGAAGACAAGATTTATCCGATTTTTGTTTGCTTTACATTTAAGACTAGCATTGACATTTCATCTACCCGGCAATAAGTATAAATTTTTTATTATTTGCGTTTAGCTTTAGCATTTGCAATTTGTTTTGTATAGGATTATTTAGCATATGTGTGCGTTCCTCTATCGCGTTTTCATTAGCGTTTGAATTTAGAATTTTCATTTGTTGATAAATGTCGTGAGGACTGAGGAGTTTTATAATTTGCAATATTCTTGTTTTCACTTTGCATTTGCATTTATACTTCCTGATGTAGTACTTTTACTCAATTAAATATCGAACCACAACCACTACAAGGTGGGCTAGTGGTAGGACGGATTTCGTGGTTGAGGAGGTAATCCCAATACGTCCGGGTTCGATTCCCCCTTGCTACATACTAGTGGCCACCAGGGAATTTACATGCGGACTTGCTCTGGCGCCCGAGACCGTGACCGTTACCTGGCCATAACCCACCATCGAGTGTGCGTCCGTGCCGTAAAGGTTCGGTCTCTAGTCTGGACCACCTCGGTGGGGCCAGGACACTCGGTTATCAAAAAAAAAAAAAAAAAATATATCGAACCACAATTTGCAATTGATCAACTCACTAGGAATACACGCAAAAGCTTAATCTAGGCTAATAAGATGATTTGGTTTTGTAAACTTGACTAATAAAGTAAATAACAATCAAACAATGCAAAACAAAACAAATGAAAGCAAAATACAAAAGACTAACAAGTTTCGAAAGTAAACAAAGCGGAAAATTAACGAGTTACTAAACGATAACTAAAGGCGAATTCTCGGGTTAAAGGGAATTGATTAGGAATGATTAAGAAGTGGATTATGGAGCTTCAAACAACTTCTAATAAGCAATGATCCCTAGGCCATAGAACACTAAGCAACACTAACACATTTCCATGACATTAGTCCATTTACTAATCAATTAATCATCAACTTCTTCCAAAGGCAATCAATTGACTAACAAGCATTATAAACAAGTCTATCTAGCCACTTAACACCCTAGTCAACAATTTCCAAAGGTAAGGAATGTAAAGCACTTAAAGGTTTTGGTTCGGGAATTTCATCGAACACCTTCCGGGCATGAAATTCCTAAAGTCTAAATCAACATGATCAAGGCTAATCTAGCTTTATAATCAACCAATAAGTAAGGATCTTAAGCAATCTAGCCCTAAACTTCATAACCCAACAACTAAACCATCCTAATCTACTTTAACCCAAGAACTCTAAATGACTACTCACTCATGATCATGATTACACAAAGCAATAGGTTTGATCTTTGTGAAATCATAATTAGAGAAGGTAGATAAGAGATTAAAAGAGAAATTTGGATTCAAAACTCAACAAAACCAAAGATTTATACAAAAACTTAGAAAGAAACCTTAAGAGAAGTTTTTGATCTCTAAACAAAACATAAGACAACCTAAGATTAGGTTAAGAGTATTTATAGGAAAACATGAATGAAGCGGGTCAACCCGGAATGAAGCGGGTCAACCCGGAACAAACCGGGTTTTGACTGCTTAAATGATTTGTAGCAAGGAGCAGACGTCCATATGGTTGCTTGATATAAACTCTGGAAAGGCGTTCATCTTCAGGGGAATTCGTAGCAAGCAAGACATCATGCTACAATTGGTCGCTATGGCTCTTTTCTTCCTTAGGTCTTTTCTTCTTCTTCTCTCTTGATCAATTCTTGGGTTCTTATGGTCCAAAACTCCTCTTTTAACTCCATTCTTCATGTCTCTACTCCAAACACCTTAAGACAAATAACTTGATGCAAATGCAATCTAAACAACCTAAATGACATGAAAATGCAAGAACTTAAAGGTTAAACAAGGCTCAAAAATCGTTAAAATCATAAGATATCACTTCCGTTTTTCTTTGCGTTTAGAATTCACATTTATGTATAAAATCATAAGATATCACGTTTTTGGATTATAGTTTTTTTTATTTCTTTCTGAATGATACATTTATTCTTCTTGCATTATAGTTTCGCTTACAAATTAATGCAAATGGAAATGCACATTCATTTTTGTTATCAATTTTTATCTGTGAATTTCATTAGATGAAGTGTTGAGGATTTACATAAAAGTTTTTTTTTTTTTTTTTCTTTTTTTGTTAATAGGTTTGACAAAAAGTTGAACCTAAAGCTTTGCCACAAAAAGAAGGGAAAAGTCTGGCTTCTCTTTGCTAAAAGTGGATCTCTCTGGGTCGCTTGGCACCACCAACATCACATTAAAGGTACTTGCCTGAATCTGCTCATCTTTCATGGAACTGGAGGTGCCTCCTAATTAGGTTGAGAATCTTGGCTGAGAGTTTTGTGAAGTGTAACCTGGGCAACGGCCAATTGGCGAGCTTCTGGTTTGATTCATGGTCCCCTTTTGGTCCCTTAATCAAGTTCATTGGACCTGATAGGCCACGTGATCTGCAGGTCCCCATTCACGCCTTTGTTGCAAGCACTTTTATCCACAACCAGTGGCTTAGTTTGGCCCCAAGATCTGCTCAAGTAGTTGCTCTACAGAGTCATTTTTCAAGCATTAATCTGCCTCTTCCTTCTGACGAAGAGGATACCTACACCTGGGACATAGCTGGTCGAAGCCATCCATCCTTTCAAATTGCTCCAACGTGGGATGCTTTAAGACCGAAACAGAGAATCAAAGATTGCTCTTCATTCCGAAAAATGCTTTCACAGTTTCACCATGTGGATCTCCTAGCTTGACAGGCTTCCAACTAAGTCTAGGCTTGCTTCCTAACTTGCATTTAAACGTTCTATATCCAATATATCTCAACTTTCTATATTAACTTTACTTTTAAACTCTAACTAAATGATAACTCGCCTCACGCACATGATCAAATCTATTCAAGAGAAAGCTATCTAAAGCGAGATATCTCTTGTGTAGTGTTGTACATCTAACCTAGACGGTCCATCATACAAAAGAAAGACAATTTGAGAGGTTTTAAAAGCCCAACCGAAAAAATTGCATTACAAATCTAAAAATTTGTATAATCTTTCTCAAATTTTAACAAGCTTTTGACTACGCAGACAATGGGTCTAGTGTCAATAGGCAGCATAAATAATTGGGGGCATGTAAGTAACCCAGTCATGCCTTCAAAAGTATTAACCAGCGGTGGTTTGGTGGAACCACAATGGCGTGGGTTTTGAACCACACAGTGTGGAAGTATGGGTACACACACCAAGAGACGTTCGGAGAGTCTTCACGGGCAATGCTCCCATTCCGCTCCTTTTGCGTGGACAAACGAACGGAGACGACAGCGTTGATTCGAGACCAACGAACATCTTCTCTCTCTATACTAGTATGTATTGGGATCGAATGTATTTTGAAAGATTTGATTTGGTTTATTTATTATTGTAAAAATGTAAATATGTACCACTAAAGTGTTCATGTCTTTTCCCAAAACAATAAAGTAAGCCAACTTGGATGATTTGATAATGATGGTGATGATGGAAGTTGTGGTGGTAATGGTGATCGTGATGATAGTTATGGTGGTGGAGGTATCGATGACAAGCTGATGATGATGGTATTCAATGATGATGATGATGAATGATGATCATGATGTCATGATGATGATGAAGACGTCAAGATATGCTGTTAATGATAACCATGATCATGATTCATGTTGATGAAAATAATGATAATGATGATGATGATAGTGATAATGATGATGATGGTTACCCACTCTTCCCGGATGATATTAAATTTTACTGGTCCATGGCCTTTGCGGTCCATTCTTAATTATCTTTGTCATCTTCTGCCCTCAAAAGGGTAAATATATATTAGAAACTATTCCTAAATGGGAATCACTCTATATTTCTTTTTCTGGATATCAATAGATTGATAATGTCATGACTTGCAACATACATTATATCGAGAATGGTACAAAAATAAACTAAGTTAGCCATTTCCATTAGTTTTTTTTTTTTTTTTTTTTCCTTCTAAAAACTTTATATTAAAACTTATCAAAGATCATTGTTTACAGCTGCACTAAGAAACATTGGACATGAATGGTACAGACACCATTGATTTGGAGAAGTACTAAAATACAATATAGTTTCTAAACACTAAGAAAAATACAATATTATTTGAACAAAGATATATAATTCTCGGAGTAGTTGGAAAATTAGGATACTATTTTATAGAATATTTCATGAATTTGAAATCGTCCATTAAATAAAGAGAATTTCAAAATACAATTTTTTTATGATACAATTTTTTGTATATATTTTTTTCAAAATATTACAAATATGGATTTCTAAATTTTTGTAAACATGTTATAAAAAATCTATAAATTTCTGCTGGCACGTGCATGTTATAAATTTTTTATTTTATAGAATATTTCATGATTTAAATCGTCCATTAATATCGAAAGAATTTCAAAAATACAATTTTATGATACTATTTTTGGTATATTTTCAAAGTATCACAAACCCAGATTAATAAATTTTTGTTATATAAAATTTTTATAACCCATTTTTATAAAACTGATTGATAAAATGGAAAATTCTTTTAGTAGTATTTTAAAAAATTGGTATAACAACAGTAATTTTCCTAAATTTTCCTTTTAATTTTTATCTATATTTTTTTCTATCATAAATAAAATTACTAAAGCGGAGCAAGTTGATAGGCAAAGTCAAATTTCAGAAATGGAATTATTCATGCGGACCATACCAAAATCGTATCTAAATGATTTAATGACGATACAACTTGCATTATAATAATAATATTTTTCCCAATTCCTACCAATATAAATAGCCCTCACCATTTGCTTCTTTGCCACACACAACCAAAAACAAAAGCACTCCTTATTGAAAAAAAAAAAAAGAAATTGAGCAAAAAAAAATGGCGAAAGCAAATGTTTTTCTCCTCTCCATTGTTCTAATGGCTTCTCTCGCTTCCCTTTCCCACGGCCTTGTTATAAACGGCCTCGTAATTGGTACAATCCAAGTTCGAGGTGTCTTGCGTTGTACCCTTACCGGTGTCCAAAACGCCCCTCCCATTTCCGCTGCGACCGTCTTCTTAACATGTGGCGGCTCAAGCACCAACCTCGGCCAAGCACTGACCAATCCCGCCGGTGCCTTCTTCATTGTGGCCAGAATTTTGGACACAGCTCTCTTTGACCCCTCTACGTGCATTGTCAGGGTTCGTCTTCCTGTGGCCACGTGTTCCGTTTTCCCACCGGACGGCGTTGTCTCTGCCACCACTTCTCTGGTCAGTGTCGTCCAGACGAATCTCGGAAATATTGCCAACTTTGTCACTGGCCCTTTCATCAGCCTCTGATCATCCGTGCTCCAACAAATAAAAGTATATGTAATTTGCATGCATTTCCTATGCTTTACGTTAATGTGTTTGTAAAGGGGATAATAAGTGATGTCATCTCGATGTCGTCCACATAGCTTATATAACTCTCCTCTTTGTTGTTGTTCGTAATTTACCTGTTGTAATATTCCCTCTTAGTCGAAGAAACTATATAACGACTAATGAGACGTTTCTCCTTAATTTTAATAAGAATACTTATCTCCTTTGATATGTTGTTGAATTGAATGTCATATTCGCCCTTTATACTCTTTCTTTTTGGTAGGGTAAATAGCCGTTCTAGAATATATTTTTCTATCTAGCTAGGGAAAATAATTTAAATCCCTAAATACTGAATAATTCATAAAATAACTTCAACACCACCATCAATATATTGTATACTGTAATTGTAGATAAACTTGGACGATTGATTTGAATATACGTACGACATGCCAAAAAAAAAAAAAAAAAAAAACTAGATTTATCTTGTTCTAAATTCTGGAGATGTGCTTTTAGTCAACTGGTTAAGTCCATTCGATTCCGCCTTCTTCACCGGAGTTCGACTCCACTAAGTCGTGTTACCTTGCGTAGTAGAGCTTGACTATGGATTGAGCATTGTCGATCCAAAGATAAAAAAAAAAATCTTGTTCTGATTTCTAACCCGAAAAATGTATGGTGTGGAACTTTCTGGATACAGAAAAAAAAAAGTTGATAAATTGTATGTTATTATTTTTTTCGTAAATTCTATATATATATATATGTTATTGTTTACATGTACTATATTATAAAATTTTTTTTACTATCATAATATTATAAATTAATTTATAGAATTTAATAAATAATATAATTTTGATTTAATTTATAGATACACACTGCTATAAGTAAAAAGTGGAAAAATCGAAAAAAAAAAAAACTCTCCGCCACTTGAAGAACTGTGTTTAGCTAGTGTCCCCGTTCTAATCAATAAAGAACTGTGTTTATCAAGCTTATTAATTATTAAAGATAAAATTCGTTTCAAAAGAAGATAAGCGCAATATTTAATTCCAAACCAAATTGGGTGAGAAAATCATATTACTAATTAAATTATTAAGTAGAACTCAAATTGAAATAAGAAATTGAAAACCCTAAATCCTCTCAAATATTGCTATCTTATTTCCGATCTAAGTTCTGTTTACAAACTTTGTCTACTTCTAAATCACATTTAGAATCTCGAAAATCAATTTCAGATATTTTTGGAATCTCTAGTGATTATTGTTGTTTTAACTCTCCAAACCGCTGTCGCCGTCATGGAACCGCAAGCTCCGTCGTTAAATCCTAAGCTCCGTCTCCTCTGTAGCTACGGTGGCCGTATAATGCCCTTCCCACCGGAAAAATCCCTTCACTACATCGGTGGCGAGACGCGGTTAGTCGTCGTTCCACGTGACATCTCTTTTCTCGACTTCTTCAAGCTTCTCTCCGACAAGCTCCTCTCTGGTCGCTCCTTCTATCTCAAGTACAAACTCCCTGGCTGCGACTTCGACTCTCTCATCACCGTCTCCGATAACGATGATCTACAGAACATGATCGCCGAGTATGATTCCACACGTTTCCGGCGTATCCGTCTCTTCCTCTTCCCATTAAATCACGTCGGGTTAACACGACAATCCGTGACCGTTAATCGGTTGCTAGGTCTAGAATCGCCGATCTTCACCTCTTCATCTTCCGTTCTTTCCAGCCCGATTTTCTCGCCAAAGAATGGTCCGGTACAGTTTGTCCATAGCGAAAAGGTCGATGCAACCGCGGCAGAGGAGAATCGGAGACAGGACGAGGCGGCTCCTACAACGTCCGCCTCTATGTTGCCGCCAGAAAAGACTGCCCCCGCTGATGATGCGGGAGGAGTTTCAGATAGAGAAACAGAGATAGTAGAGATTCAAGACCAGCCACGGCCAATCATTCAAGAGCCTTTGCCGCAGCAGCAGCAGCCATTGATAATCTGCTATTTACCAGTCTGGCAGATGCAGCCACATATGGTTAATTATCTAGTGGCTGCTTATGCATTGTCTCCGGCTACAGAACATTCTCCTTGGTTAGATCCTATGCCGGAAAAGCAGGAAAACGCGACCTGAAGGGAGTTTCTTTGACGCCAAGGTATCTTTCAATCCTTTTGAGTTTGGGAATTATTTTGTTAGAATATAGCGTAAGGAACACGTTAGGTCGATCCCTTTTGGACCGGTGTTGTTTATACCGTGACTGATCTTTTTCTTTGATAAAGAAGGCTTTGTCTTACAGTACATCTCTATGATCATGAGATTATTGTCTTCTAAACTAAATTAACACAAATATTGGGTTGAATATAGGTGATCTGGTGCATGGGAGCAGCTTCTCTTCCTCTCATCCCTTAGGCCCATAATCTTCTGTCCAGCCAGTCCAGGATCCACTGTTCTAAAATATGCGGATGTGTAAATAATTCTCCCTCAGCAAGGCTCGAATTGAGATCAAAGGTTTCAACCTTTTTACAAGACCTTTTGACAACAACTATCTGCACTGGATTGATGTAAAATTTGGATTTTGATAAATTTGCTAAATACTTAGGTAGGATATTTAGATTTACAAAGAGTTTTAGACTTTTAGTATTTAAATATTACGTAGTTAGTCCCATTATAATTTTTAACACTATATGTATTTGTTAGTTTATCCAAGTTATTTAATGTCAAAGAAAAAAACAAGTTATTGGATTGATAATTATTCTAGTACAAAATGAATTTAATTGAATTTGTTATTATCAAAAAAGTTCCCCTCATTGATTTCTAACATAATTTCCAAATATAAGTTGTTGCTGAGTTAGTTTTTTAATGAACACATCCGTTATCTGACATAAAACTCTTCCTATATTTTGAATTACTTATTTACAAAGAATTTAAATTATTTTGTTTTTTCTTAATTTTTAATGTATTTTTTGTTCCATCACCGCTACTCTCAAGAAGATAAACTTTTTCAATATGAAACTTTATTTTAAAGTCCAATTCAATTGTTTGGGCACATATAATGATTTATTTTAGCAATTCATTCCAATTTAAGTTTTGAACAATGTTGCAGACTTGGTTTGTTATATCCAACCTTAAGGCGGCACACAGTACTAGAAGTATTCTGCATCACAAAACTGGAAATTTTTTATAAATATTACCCAGCGAATAGTAATGCAAAATGCTGTGTTTTCACCAAGAGATTTGGTTATATATATATATATATATTTATCTTCTTAGCTCAGTTTGTAAGTGATTTCGAGGCCACGATAACAAGGTTAGTTAGTAATTATCTCTTTTATATTTTTTGTTATATTTTCTGTTTGTAAAAATTAGAAGAAGAAATACCTTTTCGTAAAAAGATAAATATCCAAGATAATCATCTTAATATCAAGAAAATCTGTGTTCTCGAAAATACAAATTTTTCTGTTTTATTTTCCAAATATTAAAAAAATTAATTAATTGCCTCACAAAGTTCATAAACAAAATCTTTGTGGTATTTTCTCATTTTTGGTATTTGTAGTATTTTTCCAAAAAAAATTAAAAACATAAATTTCAGTGTTTCAAATATTTTCTCTTAAGCATAAACACATAAAAGTATTTAGATATAATTAAGATCACTTCATTTAACATTTAACCTCAAATTTTTAATTGCAATACCTTGTTTCAAGGATCACACACTAGGTCCGATTATCAAAAAAAATTTGCATGGCCAAATGTCCAAAACACATCATAAGGTTTTAACAAAGAAAATGGCAGAAGATTGGCGCAAGTGTTGGAGTATTGATCAAATCATAACTTCTAATTTGCAAGATCCAGTATGATGTTCCGAACGCAATTTAAAGATGGTCTCATGGCCAAAACATAACTCGTAACATCAAAACCAAAAACATACAGTTTTATTATAACAAACAAACAAAGAACAACTGAGGCTAAAACATATCTTGCAAGTTGTAACATTTAAACAAAAAACATACAGTTTTATTATAACAAACAAACAACGAACGACTGAGGCTAAAACATATCTCGTAACATTTAAACCAAAAACATACAATTTTATTATAATAAACCAACAAAGAACAACTGACTGACTGAGAGAATGAAAACAACTTAGCTAATAGAAACTTTTAAGTATATAATTTTATCTTAAAGAAAAAACCCTTCTATGCATATCATACTAAACGGCACCAGCTTCAGTAAACAGTCTCCAGTCGTCACATATTCCCTGCGAACTCATGTAACGCTGCAAATGAAGAGAAATTTAAAAACCAGCAGATAGATAATCTTGAATGAACAAATCAGAATGAGTACGGCCATATAATTTTTTTACCTGCAAAAAGTACTGCAAGGTGCAAGTTGTTCGTGTACTCGATAACGCAATCAAGGATGGCGTTGATATCCGACTGTAAAAATACACGAAAAAAAGAAAAACATTGACAAAACTAAAAACATTTCCCAAGAAAAAAAATTCGGTTAACAAGGCAGCAGTTGTGAACCTGTGGGCAATTGGGTGTTAATTCCTTTAGTGTTTCTAGTTGGCTTCTTATACGTTCCCGCCTTATCTTCTAAGGTATTCAACGAGAGAAAAAAAGAGGAAATCATGAGTTTCTTGGGGAAGAAGTATCATAACAATACAACTATTATTCGTTACCTTCTTCAACAAGGTATCATGATCAGATTTGTCAGAAGATTTAGACACGCATTGTCTCTTAACTCGCTTCTTCTTTCCTTCTCTCTTCGACTCAGCTGGCCTCTTTTGCCTTACATCCTCTTCACCTCCTTCGTTGTTGATCTTACGCAAGTCACTATTCGCCTCTGGATTAGCGAGCGAGTTCAGCATCTCAGACCATTGCCGAAGAAATTCTTCGTCGTTGTTCATTCTTTTGATCGTTTTAAGTAATCCTTTACTGGTAGTTTGTTGAGATTTTGAGTTTAGCGCAGGCACTTGAAAGGTGTACTTATATAGGAAGAAAAGGATAGATATGTAAAACTACTCATGACGAGAAACAACAACGTTTGCCGCACAAAAGCTTCTCTTCGTTACTAAGTTACCAATTCTTTAATAAAATTATATTTATATAAGGTGGACATCTAAGAGCATGAATATTGGTTGAAATGTTGAGTATCTTAGATAAATCTTAGGATTAAAGTTGATTAAAAATAATCAAACCAACATCTTAAAGCTAAGATTTGTATCTAAGTTAAGATGTTTTTCTTAACTTAAGATGTTGCAAGGTGTCACATTGTGATTGGTTAAAAAATCAAACAAAAGAAGTTTTTTTTGTGTTTTATGTTATTTATGTTATAAATTATATCTCATGTATGTTTTAATTTTTTTAATTTGCAACAATTATTAAATTTTCTATAATTATAAGTTTTATTTTTATATTAGTATTTTTTTTTTAAAGAACCACATGTTAAGAACCTATCATTAATCACACAAAAATCTTAACCCAAAAATACTATCTCTTACCTATCACTTTTACAAATATATTACTTAAATATTCCTAAGATTTATTTCTAAGATACTACCAATAATCATGCTAAAAGGTTCATATATTGATAACCAAGAAATGTAACGTGTCCATTTTTTGACCTAAGTCTTAAGGTTTTAAAAATTAGAGATTTTGGAATGCAGGATATGTACACACAGAATACGACAACATTAGGACCTTACGAAGGCACGAGGCTCTTGTACTCTCGTTTACTCAGAACTCCACAAGCATCAGGAGTTCTCTACGTACGTTTAACACAAATATTCAAACATTTTCGAGAAAGATCTAATCTAGTCATGTTAAGTTTTAATAATTTTTAAATGGTACCTTCCGGTTTAGAGAACCTCCGAGTCGTTAAGAGAGTTTCAAATTTGCGCATGAGAGACTTCCGGTTTAGAAACTATCTCGAATTTGTTTTCTTTGTAAAATTGTGCTGAAAAAGTATATATGTAAGGAAATATAATAGCGATGTGCTGCCACTCGTTCCTCCTCCTCTTAACATTTGGATTTCAGATTCGACTTTCATAAAAAGAAATAAACACACAAAGAGATCTATAGTATCTAATTTAGTTGTCGCATTAAACAGCATATATATCCGAAAAATTTAATTCTACAACTTAACAAATTCTCACTCAGAGGATAATATGCAATAATGAGACGGCTTATTGATCTTTCAGTAAAAAAGTCTGATTGAACTTGCACACAACTTTATTTATCGTGCGGAATGATCTTCGTCAACATATTTGTTGGATTCTGATTTTCCAAGATCTTCTCTAGTACTTCTTTTTTTGAAATCAACCTTATTTAATTTGTCTATATGTATGGGTAATTCATTCCTCAATATTAAATTCGTAGTTTCTTCAGGAAGTTACACAACATTAGGTTACACCAATTTTATGTGACATGTTTATAATTTAAGTATGAGCTAGTTTGTTTTTGATAAATGAAAATTCATAGTTTAAAATTTTAAAAAGTCATTCTTTACATTGAGAAATTTATCACCCGTATATATTGATAAGTGGAATTGATTTCAATAACTTTTGGATCACGATTGAAGAAGCATCATATAAGAGCATCCATAGTGGTAGTTTTTCGTTAAGAACTTTTCTATAGACTCCTTTTACACATAAAGATTTGATTGGTTTTATTTTTTCGTTATAATTTTAAATTTAAAATAACATTTAAAAATATTAAAATATTATATTTGAGAGACTCATACAATTTTTACCAATGCTGATGCTGTAAGAGTCAGTAAGTCACTTTATTTTATTAATCTTAATTTAGTATTTCACATTCAAAGTTTTATATTAAAAAGTATATAAAATAGTTTCTAAACATGAGTGTGATATCATCGAAACAATCGGTTGTAATAGCGTTACACTATTTAGATAATAAACATCTCTAAAAATGTTTCGAAAATCTTAAAGAAAACTGGAATAGAAAAGAAAAAAAAACAATTCTCCTCAAAGAGCGAGACCATGTTATTGCGTAATACATGTGGATTCCGTAGTTTGGTAATGATATTAGATGATCTATGCGCTCCAGTGCTCCACGGCAACGGCTAACTTCTCGAACACACGCTCCTATTTCCGACGTGCCAAAGTTGGAGCCTAGCTATGATTGTCATTCTCTAGTCTACTCATATTTTGCTGCTCCATGCATCCATCTCTTTGACTGGGCCACACTATAAAGTACTTTTACTAATTAAAAAACTAATAATCAAAATGATATTGTAAACTTTTTACGTTCTTGTAGTAGTATTGTTTTGTTATAAAGACTGAGAACATTCACTTTTTACTAATTATATATAGTGTTGGTGGTATGGATGATTGATATGCTAAGAAAGCAAAGCAGAAACTATAGGTCCAGGCATGTCTGTTCAATGTATGATATCTCTTTTAGCAACACTGTTCTTCTATCCTATCGGACCTGCAATTACTTTTTTGGTCTCATTCATGTGCTTTATTTTATAGGAGATTTTAATTATTTGAAATAAGTTTCTAATGGCTGCTAGTAAAACTAAACCTCTAAAAAATCTCACTACTATGAATCAGCATCTATAACTTCATATCATTTATATATGGAACTTTATATATCACCATAACTATATATGATTTTTTTTTTATCAGCATATCTATAATCAGCTTGAATTAAGTTTCACAAATTACATTTCCATCTACACATTCAACATACATTGAATATCAACTAATTTTTAAATTTATTAAATAGTACTGATATACGTTCGGAGTAGCTAGACAACTATAGACAATTAGACATAATGATTCACATTTTTCTATAAATTGATTAATTGATGATACAAATGTGTGTGTTAACGGCTGGAAAACATACAAAGAGGGACATCATAGTTCATAAAGTTGTTCCCTTTATAGTTATACAGAGAATGTGGAATACTCATGGAGCCGTATTAATCACTCTATTATTTTCATTACAAAATAAAGTAAGAAGTAGGGGTTTAACTTTAATTAACTAGATACTTTTTCTACTCCAGCTTACTCTTGTCTACTGCAACTATTATTAATTCGAGTGAACCGTTAGCTCACCATATATATCTTGTATGCAATCACTTAAAATTTTCTATTAGTTGATAATCATATTTAATAATTACTTAACTTTTTGGTAATTATAATCATATTAAATAAATTTACAAGTAATTAATGGGTTATTTGCTAAGGCTTAGTTTGATTCATTGGTTCATTCCTATTTGTGAATATGAAAATAAAAAATAAAACAACTTACGTACTTGAAAACTCGAAAACGACTTATATTGTGAAACAAAAACTTTTATCTAAAAGATTTATATTATAAAAGAGAGAGAGTATTTTATTATGTATATACTTTAAAGGCTTTCTTTTAGAAAATTGTAATAATATTGGAGCTAAAAGTATATAAAAATTGGCATAAGTAAGTGCACTTTCGTTATGAGAAAGAAAGTGCATGAATTTCTCCGCAAGAGCTTATCTTTTGCACATTTGTCATCATCATTATTCTCAAGTTTTGTATTTCCCCATCATTCTTAAAGTATTCAACATTGATCTTAGTTTACTATACCAATAAATGAAAACATATTTCTTACTATTATATAAATAAAACAAAAAAAATTGTCGATCTCAAAAACACAAAAACCAATTGGGATATTATTAATAGATAGATAGATACCAATGTCCAAAGGTCCAACTTAGCAAGGCCGAATCTTCTATCAACGTCTCTCACTCTCCTTTTCATGCTTTCACACTCTCTCCACTTCTCTCTCCAATTCTCTCATCAATCTCCGCAACCTGTTCTCATTCTTGATTTTTCCCTTACCAGAAAGTAAATTCTTGTCCGAATCCTGCTACTTTCTTGTTCTGATCCCTCCGAAATGTCGGTGGGATCTCTTTTATTCTTGTTTCTTCTTATCTGGAACTTCAATGGCGAATTGAATGCTCTAAACGACGAAGGGTTTGCTCTTTTAACTCTCAAGAAGTCTATTTCAAGAGATCCAGATGGTTCTTTAAGTAACTGGAACTCAGAGAATCAAAACCCTTGTTCTTGGAATGGAGTCACTTGTGATGATCACAAGGTTGTTGTCTCTCTTAGCATCCCAAAGAAGAAACTTGTAGGTTATCTTCCTTCTTCTCTCGGTTTACTTACTAATCTCCGTCATTTGAATTTGAGAAGCAATGAGCTTAGTGGGAACTTGCCTGTTGAGCTTTTTAAGGCTCAAGGGCTTCAAAGTTTGGTTCTTTATGGGAATTTCTTATCTGGGTCTATTCCAAATGAGATTGGTGACTTGAAGTTTCTGCAAATTTTGGATTTTTCTCGTAATTCTCTCAATGGGTCGATTCCAGAATCGGTTCTGAAGTGTAAAAGGCTTAGGAGCTTTGATTTGAGCCAGAATAATCTCACTGGTTCTGTTCCTAGTGGATTTGGTCAGGCTTTGGCTTCTTTGCAGAAGCTTGATCTTTCTTCTAACAATCTTAATGGTCTTGTTCCTGATGATTTGGGGAATTTGACTAGATTGCAAGGAACTCTTGATTTGTCTCATAATTCGTTTAGCGGCTCGATTCCAGCTAGCTTGGGGAATTTACCTGAGAAAGTGTATGTGAATCTAGCTTACAACAACTTGAGTGGACCAATCCCACAAACCGGTGCTTTGGTGAACAGAGGACCAACTGCATTCTTGGGGAATCCGAGGCTGTGTGGCCCTCCATTGAAGGATCCTTGTTTGGCAAACTCCGGAGATTCTCCAACATCTCACCCTTTTGTACCTGAAAACAACGAGCACGGTGGAGGAGGGTCGAAGAGAGGAGAAGGTTTAAGTAAAACTGCTATTGTTGCAATTGTGGTCTGTGATTTCATTGGAATCTGCATTGTGGGATTTCTCTTCTCTTGTTGCTACTTGAAGATATGTGCGCGTCGTAATAGTGTGGATGAGGAAGGCCATGTGTTGGAGAAAGAAGGGAAAGAAAAGAAAGGTTCTTTCTGTTTCAGAAGAGATGGATCAGAGTCCCCTTCTTCGGAAAATCTTGAGCCACAACAGGATCTTGTTCTGTTGGATAAACATATGGTTTTGGATTTAGATGAGCTGCTTAAGGCTTCTGCTTTCGTTCTTGGAAAAGGCGGGAACGGGATTGTGTATAAAGTTGTCCTTGAAGATGGTCAAACGGTCGCGGTTAGGAGATTGGGAGAAGGAGGATCCCAAAGATGCAAGGAGTTTCAGACAGAAGTCGAAGCGATTGGGAAGCTAAGGCATCCGAATATTGTTAGTCTTAAAGCTTATTATTGGTCAGTTGAAGAGAAGCTTCTCATCTACGACTACATTCCTAATGGAAGTCTTGCCAATGCACTCCACGGTAAACTATGAAACCTTTATGATAATACTACTCACATATGGCATCTCTGTCTTGAAAACTCAATTTTTTTATTTTGTCTATTGTTAGGAAATCCTGCAATGGTGTCATTCAAGCCGTTGTCTTGGGGAGTACGGTTAAAGATAATGAGGGGTATCTCAAGAGGGTTGGTGTATCTTCACGAGTTTAGCCCCAAAAAGTATGTTCATGGATCTCTGAAACTAAGCAATATACTGCTGGGACAGGATATGGAGCCTCATATCTCGGATTTCGGACTCATGCACCTCTCTAGCATTGCTGGAACATTGGAATCAACCACAGTTGACCGACCATCAAACAAGACCGCCTCATCGATTGGATCATCTGCAAACTTGAGCTCATTTTATCTGGCTCCTGAAGCCACAAAAGCAACAGTGAAGCCATCTCAGAAATGGGATGTATACTCATTCGGGGTGATCTTGCTAGAGATGATAACAGGAAGATTACCGATTGTTTTTGTGGGTAAATCGGAAATGGAGATAGTGAAGTGGATACAAATGTGTATCGATGAGAAGAAAGAGATGGCAGACATTTTGGATCCTTATTTGGTGCCTAATGACACAGAGATTGAAGAAGAGGTCATCGCCGTGTTGAAAATTGCAATGGCATGCGTTAGTACTAGCCCCGAGAAACGCCCACCGATGAAGCATATCGCCGATGCTTTGACCCAGATTTGCCTTCAGTGACTCATAACAAAAAGTGTTGCAAGTCAAAATTGTGAGTATGTGTTTAAAGGAATAGTCTTATTGTTGTGTCTTGTTCCCTTGTAATATCAATATCTTATGTTACTTCAAAATAGAGTTTCTTTGTAACATAGCTTTACTCATTTCCAAGGTACATACATATATGGATAAGCTTCATAATCACAAGGTTACACATTTTATCATAAACATATGGTAAGTCCTTATTTTTATGTAGTTTAATTATAGAAAAAGAGAATGTAATTTCTCTGAAAATTTGTCTTATATATCAAAAGGGCAATGTTGAACTGAAATTAGGAGGCTGTGTTCCAACGCTTTCTCTTAAAATCCTTTCCATCTCTTCTGCAGTGGACATATTCCCTCCCTGTTATCAAAATCTTTATCAATATAAATCCATGAAAATGTTTATATTTATGTGACAATTACCTGAAATATATCTGTTGGCTCAATATCCAAAGAATTAAGGTCGTAATACGCACTTGCCGCTGAGAGTTTCATGGACAAAAACTGTAGTCACGAGGCCAAAGCAGAAAGACATTTAGATAATTATTAATATATATATTATCACTGGGTTATTATAAAAAGTTAATGGGATGTTTAATTTGAAGACTAAAATGGCCTAACCTCGATTTGATTCTGGAGTGATCGAACATAATCTATGATGACATCAAGCATCACTGCCATTCCCATTGCCTGCCATCACGTTTTGAGTATCATTAAAGAGAATAAACCTACTGTGGATAAAATAAATGTTTTCTATATTACTCAAAACAATCTGTTCGTTTACGTGAGTGACGCTACCACAAAAGATTTTGGTGTTCCGAAATACAAATTTTTTTTTTTTTAAATCACTCATATGATTCTTTTTTTTTTTCTTTCCTTAATTCACAAGTTCAAAGATACATAGCCGAAACAAAGACCATAATAGTTAAAAGAATTGTGAGCTTTAAAAATTATCTTTAAGAAATGAAATGTTTAATAAAGTTTTTAAACTATAAATAAACAGCACCAGAAATTGGTATATTGTAGAATTTCTCCAGAGTTGCTTGGTTTTAGAGTTTTGTTGATTTTCTTGTAATATCAAACAAAAATTAGGGTTTGCGGAGATTCAAGTACCTTGTAGCAGCCTGGAACAAGGTCTTGTAAGCATTTCAGCCTTTCATTTATCTTCTCTCTTCGTACCTTTTATGCATTCCACAGAGAACCCAACGTACTAAGAAAATATGAATTTAAGAAAAGTAAAGTTTTTTTGTACTTTTGAGTATATATGTATTTGTAGAATTACCCTTTCAGCCAAACTATGGCTATCAGTAGCTTGACCTCTCTTAGCTCGGACATGGACAACATCTTTTGGCTTCTGAGTCTCCTCTTCATTCATGGCTTCTTCCTCTTCCGACCTCTTTCTTCTTCTTTTTGACCCACTCTCTTCTTTATTGCCTTTTCTTCCCGTACCACTACCACCTGCGATTTCTAGCTTCATCAAGTCTAAGAACATAAATATGAATATAGCAGTTTTTCCCCCACACAAGAAAACTATAAATTCTTTACCATGCAATAAATTTGGGGAGAAGTGAGAATTATTGTGATCGGCATCAACTAAAGTTCCATTGGAGAAAAGCATGAAACTCGAAGGAGTAGAAGCTGGTGAGTCCAGATTTATTAGCTCTGGATTTTGGTTAATTTGTGCAAAGAAAGGATTAAGACCTATGTTATAATTATATGGCTCAAACCGTGCCATTAGAGACACTAAGAAACCAAAATATGATTTCCTTTTTGTGAGTTTTTTTTTTTTTTTTTTTTTTTTCTCTAAGACAGTTATAAAACTTGCAATCGGGTTTTGATTGTTTATATAGATAGAGATTTCTAAGATGATGACTTATTCAATAAGTTAAGTCTTTTAAATGATTTGGTTATTAGCTCATGTATTGTGTGACTTTGTGAGAATGAGAAAGAAGCGTGTGAGACCAAAGAGACACTTCGTAGCTAGGTTTCCATTTACCACTGTGCAGAAGATTTTGTGGGACCCATGTTCAATGTTAGATATATCTAACTTGCCGGGACCTTTTGAGTACCCCTTTTTAATGTAACAAGTATGGTGCCAAATTGAAACAGAAGAAATTGCATTAATGATCAACGAGTGATCATCACAAGTTTTGCATTATTAGGCTATCAGACAAAACTTAAGTACGACGACTTAACATTAAGCGGCTATCTCTGCTAGTTGCAGGAAATACTTACTTTGTTTCTGGTAAAAGCTAAAACGATACTGTAAGAAAATAATAAGATTTATATAATATTTTCTCAAATAAGTTTATAAGTGTAAGTTTTGAAGTGGCCTAGGCAGTCTCAAAGACTTCCTTACAGAGGCTGTAGATAGCAAAATTAAAATAACATAATAATGAACAATTGAAAAAAAAAAAAAACTATATATATAGTTAGGAATTCTTTTATTGCGTCTAATTAGTCTCATTTCTAAGATTCTGAATCCCACAAAAGGAGGTGTATCTTAGTTTGAAGGTTTGGATGGTTGGAAGGGTCTTAAGAAGCTAGCTAGAGTGGATACGATTACTTTCTCCAAAACTAATGTTTACGACTAACCTCACAACATGTGATTAAATTGTCAATGAATGTTTAAGGAGAGAAATAAAACATGTGATTAAATTGTCAATGAATGTTTAAGTAGAGAAATTGAGAAATTTGACTTTAATGACATGGATATGATTGTAAGGAGGCAGAAAAATCCAAGCCCATCTCTATCGATAAAGATTGGCTTCACTACTTTCCATTTTCTTACATCAATAATGAGGCAACTATCCAATTACTAATAGATCTACGTTGGGAATATCTCGCTTTCACATTAAGTTTGTTTCGTTTTCCCTACTTTCATTTTACCTTACCGTAATAGCCATTTAAATGCGACAAAAGTAAATGTTTTGTTGCAAATATATATATATATATATATATATATATAGAGAATAGACCTAAGTTAGATATCCCAAAACTTAATAATGGTCATAAAAATTTGGACAATCTCTTTAATAATTGTCATATGTCTAAGATCATCTCCAATGTATTTCTCTATTTTTACCTTTATCTTTATAATAGAGGTGAGTTTTCTCTATTTTTACTCTAATGTATTCTCCTATTTTTTTCTCTAAAAAAATATTTATAGAGAAAAAATAGAGATCCTCTATATATAGAACAAAAAAAAATAGAGATCTCTATTTTAGAAGTGGGAATATAGATCTCTATTTATAGAAGTGAGTTAGAGTAGATTTATCTCTAAACTCTATTTTAGAAGCAAATATAGAAGTTGGTTGGAGATGTTCTAATTTGTATTACTAAGGAAAGAGGACTTTTCATCTTACTATATTTAGTGGGCACTGGATTTCAACAATTTATTAAGTGGACATAGAAGTTTTGAAATTTTTATATTAAACATGAATTTTGTTATTTTTGCTAGTTCACGGGTAAACGTTATACCAATCGATAAAATAATGCAGTTAGCTGATAAATTACATATAAATTTACCAACTTGCAATAATCATCACAAAAAGTCAAAAATACTAGATGAAATTCATTGATTGAAATATTGCAAGTAAGTGGGCTTATTTCACTAATAAAATGTAGAAGAATCAATATACAAATGTCATAGATAGCTTTCTAGGCCCACTTTGTTTTCAGCCCATATAAAAAATGGGGAGATGATAGAGGGGAGACCACAGTTGAACCAGATCAGTGATAATAAAAAGCCGAAATGGAAGTGGTGAACTAATTGAACGATCAAGGTGCAGTAAAATACTCATTGAGCCATTTATTCCTAATCATGATTTATACTTCTTCTTTTTCTGCCCAACGATGATTGTTTCATTGTTTGTTACCAATTCTTAGTCCAGTTAGCAAAATTTTCATTGTTAATGGATATGGTCTTAAACTTAGTTATCTGTAAGAAAATTTAAATCATCTTGTCGTCACCAGATCAAGTGGGTTCTAAATACAAACGAGTCGGCGTTATAACACCATCGTTATTCCAACTTACGTAATTTTCAACCCATCAATGAGTTTCCGAAAAAGAAACTGATGGGCACAAATTACCCCTAATAACTTTCTATATTTGGAAATCTTAATTTACTCTGCTGTCTCCACCCATGTTGTCTTTTATCTTCATTCCATGTGTTTCTATCTTTCACTTTTGTTCTGCCCCACTAAACTTATCTTCAAATAGAGGTTGTGCTATTGAAAGAAGGTTTATAAAAACGAATTTTTTTATGTGTTTCTCACACTCACATTATCAAGAATTTGAAAATGAATAGTTCCAAGAATGACACGTGGTTCTTTAGATTATCTTAATCCAAGATAGCGACTTCCCGGTGCCAAGATTTGATTGATTTTCCATACGTCGAACTTAAGTACTTGTACCTTTTACAAGTTGCAAAGCCTGTTCTAATTTAGTTCGTTCTTACTTTTGATAATTGATTTACTTTTAGATGAATTATTCTTTTCTGTAACCAAATTTTTTTGAACATTTGGTTCATAATTTCTCTAGACCCTCGCCGTTTAGCCTTTTAACAATATGTGTGGCGAATTCACTAACGCATTTCTCATAAAATATAGTATACTATACATGACTCGAATTTATCCTCAAGCCCCTATATAGGTTCAGAAATTCATTAAATTATAGTAAAATTTGTTTTCCCTTTTCAAATTGGTTTTCTTAAAAACAAGGATTTTTTTTCTTTATCGTTAGTAATACTTATATGCAAAAGCCACATGCGTAGAAATTACCGACTAGTCTCTACAAGATATCGTCCTGCATGAAAAATATATATAGTATATTTATTTATAACCCTTAAAATGTAAATAATTATTTGAAGAGAAAACATAAAAGAAAATTAAAAAAGAATATTACAAAATGATGTCATGTTAATTTTTAACAATTCCAAAATATATACGTCAACACTTTAGTAATGTAGTGGTTGAATAATCATATGATTTAAAAAGAAACTTTGTGGTTCAACTTCGGTGTGTGGCATCTATGATCTATGTATAAAAGAAAGTACGAATATTATCCAATATTACGAGTCTATAAATTCTCTACAACCATTGAATTCACTTTCACATCTCAAATCACAAAAGCCTCTCTCTTAGTCTCTTTGTAACTCATGTCTCTCTCTACACACACACAAAATAAAGCTTTAAACAATTAAAATTAGAAAGGGAACAAATTATTATGTCAAATATAGCGAAGAAGAAGTTTAATGGAAATGAAGAGGGTGCAGAGCAGAGGAAAGGGCCTTGGACACTTGAGGAAGACACTCTTCTCACCAATTACATTTCCCATAACGGTGAAGGCCGATGGAATCTCCTCGCTAAATCTTCTGGTAATAATTCTTCTCTTTTACATTTTCATTTTTTTTTCCAACAAAATGAAAATTGGTGAAAAGCGGGTCTTCCTCTCAATTCATATTAGAATCAATTTGTATTAAAAATTTGATCTCTTTTTTTACAAAAAAAAAAAAAACAGGGCTAAAGAGAACCGGAAAAAGTTGTAGATTGAGATGGTTGAATTACCTTAAACCCGACATAAAGCGTGGGAATCTCACTCCTCAAGAACAACTTGTAATCCTCGAGCTCCACTCGAAATGGGGTAATAGGTACGTTAGTTACTCTAATGCTCTCTTTAGCTTTATAATGTTTTATAATCTAACCAGGCCCGGCTGTAGGCATGTGCGGAAAGTGCTCATGCACAGGGTCTATCTTTTTTTTTTTCAATTAAATTTGTTAAATTTAGGGTCTACAAAAAATACATAGAATATAAAGACCAATTATTTTTTTCAGCTTAGAGTCCTTAATTTTTTTGAGCTGGCCCTGAATCTAACGTGTAACATGTTGTTTCTTAATTAGATGGTCCAAAATTGCAAAATATTTACCCGGAAGAACAGACAACGATATTAAAAACTACTGGAGAACTAGAGTCCAGAAACAAGCACGCCAGCTCAACATAGATTCCAATAGCCACAAGTTCTTAGAAGTTGTTCGTAGCTTTTGGGTTCCGAGACTGATCCACGAGATTAAAGATAACTCAAACACTAACAGTATTAAAGCTGATGCTCCTGATTTAGTTGGACCTGTTTTAAGAGACAAGAACGATTTGTGTTTCATCAACAACATGGATTGTTCCACTTCCATGTCAGTAGATCTCAAGAAAATTTCACAATTCATGGATTTGTCTGATCTTGAAACCACATTGTCATTGGAGGGATCACGAGGGAGTAGTAGTCAATGTGTGAGTGAAGATTATAGCTCATTCCCTTGCCTAGAGGAGGAGTACATGGTGGCCACTATGGGCAATTCAGACATTTTAACATTGCAGGATTGTCACGTGGCTGATTCCATGTACGAGGAGGATGTGACACAAGATCCAATGTGGAACATGGATGACATTTGGCAGTTTAAGGAGTATGCACACTTTAATTAGGTTATAGAGCCCACATATATATATGTATATGTTCTTACAAATTGGAGGGGTTTATCTCTTTTTTATATATTAATTGTTTTGGATTCCTTAATAATGTGTTCTTATATAGTTTATAGTTATATTTTGAATTAATGGAAATAAATTTTATTATTTTAACATTAATCGTTGTATACGAAATTTTTTGACGTAAAAGAATAATTTAGTTTGCATGTTGACTAAAATGAGGAAGTGACAACTGAAATGAGGAGTATATAATTGTCGCGTCTCCTCTACAGAATAAATCTTAATCTTTGAACAATTCTCCTTTTCGTTCGTTTGGATCTTCTGAGGAGAACAAATCTAATCTCACTTCTACATGTGAAAGAATCCAAAATCGAGGGATTCATATACTGATGATATACACGATGTTAAATCCAAGAAAATTGATGGGTGATAGTCAAGATTCTAGAAAATAATTGATTATTTATCTCCTTAGAAAATTATATGTGTGCATGATTAGTAAGTCGATGGAAAGTCTATGCTTTCAATATATTGCAAATAGACATCTGTTTGACGTTATCTAATTAGTTTGTTTAAAAGAATTCTACGATTAATATTGTGCTCTACCTTTTTTTTAACTCAATATCTTATTCACGAAACATTTGAATCTAAAATAATACAGAAAACTTATTTTAATCTTGGAGCACTTATATGAACCATGTAATTAAATGTTGCATTATAGATTACAACCAAAGACATTCGTAGTTCGATTAGAATTACTTGATTTTTCGTCTCTTTTACTTTTGTATGCATGCCTCGACCAAAAACAAGATATTGACCTTCATTCAATTTATCCATAAAATTCTTTAGTTTAAAAGTAAACATTAAAAGCAAAAAAA